TCGCTCTTGTGTGGCGCTAGCAGACAAGCTTCCCTCCGCTCCCGATTCCCCGCCCCCCTCTCCTACTTTCGGCGGCCACTTTTTTTCGCGACGTGCCAGGCTTTCTCCGTATAGAGGAGGCTATGCTGGTGCATGAGATACCAGTTTATCGCTCTAAGCCCTTCTACCTCGTTGGGGCCATACAACCTGTGCTTCATAGAGAAAGGAGAGGTTGTGTTTTTGTAACAGTGAATGCATAAAGATTGCATGAAAGGGGGAAAAAAAAGGGGGGGGGGGGGAGTGCAGTCGAAGCTTCTCCACCTCGCGCGGCCGCTGGGTAGGTTGATGGAATAGGATGGGATAAATACGATCTTCCAAACTTTTGTTGTGAGACAAATTAGTATTGCTGATGGCAATGACACTACCACCAAATCCAGGTGAAGAAATAATATTTGATACAAGCGCGCCTTATTTTTTTTCTCTAGCTCGCGTTTACACTTAGATATTATAATTTAATATAGAAAACACTGCAAAATTAAATTCTGAATTTCGAAGAATTGGGAATTAAGCACAAAAAAAATCCTATAAACTCCTAATATTCGGCAAAGAACGAACTCTGAAAAACACTCTCCGAATTTGACAAGAAATGAACTTCGAAAATACGAAATCCTACTCATACTCTATCTCAGGAGTTGCGTACATGCAGCGAAGGCATAAGCAAGGACACAAGGCCTTCAGATTTACTTTCCTGTCGCGAGTTCTCAATTAAGAAAAGCCAATCTGAAAGCCACGCCCACGAGCCTGTGCGTTTGCCTCTGCTCCATGCAGCTCATGAGACGGAGCACGTAGATTTGTTCATCAAATGCGACGAAGGTGCGGTAGCACTAATACGCAGTTCCTACCCTACTGTGCAGCGGAGGAAGGAGGGAGATAAAAGTGTTAGCGCACTGCGTATACCCCCTCTCCTCCGCTCCGCAGTTCTAACGCGTTTGAACTGTGAGTAGGAACAAAAACTAGACAAAGACTGCTGGGCTTTGCATCGACCCACTAATCCCTGCAATCAGAGCTCGGGGTGCACTGACCGACCCCTCCCATCTCCTCTCTCTTGGTTTCTCGCCATATTGGCGATTTTCACCGCGTGTTTTTGAACCTACTTTCACCCTCTTCGTCTTTCGTCCGCCAGACGCTAGGTACCGTGGATTTCGCTGGAGTCGCCCGTAGATTTTTTTTTTTTTTTGTGCTAAATTAGTTAAGTATTAGGGAACATTCTTTGAATGTAGTTAAACGGGCCTCACGTGCTTGGGGGGGGGGGGGGGGGGGGGGGACGTTTGTAGCAGCAATTACTGCTCTAAAGCAAACATCAAATGACACTTTTAAAGGTGCGTTTGTCAGCGCCCAATTTTAGTTATTTGCTTAAAATATTTCATACAGAGAAGACGCGCGCGTGCAGCCATGGGGCATCGGTAAAAGCGTAGACTGGCTTAACCGTGGATAGAGCCCTGTTTCAACAAACACACGTTTACGTATACGCGTCTATCAAATTACGGCGCCCTGCAACGCGTCTCGGACCGGTGTGTTTGGCGTCCTAACCCACCCACACATCAAAAGTGGCTCCGACGCGGCAACAAATAACGCCCCAGACACCGGCGTGTGTCGGATGTTGCGGTCCTATGCGGAGAGCAAGTCGTCTGCTTTTTGCGCAGGGGTTGCGATGACGTCAGAAGGACGCCGAGTTCTGATTGGCTTTGATTGGAAGGATAGCAGATGAGCTTGATGCTAAATGCCTTAGCACTTACTATTTCTACCTACTATTTTTTTTTAATCAGCCAATAAGAGCATGGCGTTCTGACATCATCGCAACCTCTGTGCAAGAAGCAGACGAATTTGCGCTCCGCATGGCGATTGATCTTGAAGCCTCGGAAAAAGTTATACGAGAAAACGCGAGTGCCGCTGTCGTCACCATAGAGTCATTATAATGTACGCTATAGGGGTTCAAGTGGCGCTAGTGTGCTGCTGCTAATTGAAGCAGACAGCAACCAGTCGGAAATTGACTTCCGGTAATGCATTTCTATGGGAAAAAGCGAGTGCATTTTCTCGCTGCACTAAATTGTAAGAGCAAATATCGCGAATATTTCGTACGTACTGGCACATTGGAACATTTCTCAGTCACGCAAACGAAATAATTGGTAAGTTGCGGCGTTTTTATTTGAAATTCGTGGCAGGAAAAATGGTGCTAAAACCGCTTTATACATGTATTTATCTGCACCGTCGGACACTGTTAGCGCGAACACGGCATCGGCGCTTTCCACCATGGGGGATATACGTGTCAAACGAACGAAGAACATGTGGGAAACCAAGAGAGACGGCAAAAACTACGCAGTAACACTGGATAAGTAACCCCTTGTGCATGCAGACGATCAAAAGAAATTGAAAGCCACGTAATATAGTCCGATTTGCAATAAATAAGTACTGCTTTATTTTTTCTGCTCTTGAATATGCGCACATATGCATGTTCTGGGCTCAAATCATCAACCGTACTCTCCAAATTTTTGCAAATAGGGAAAAGTCAGAAAAAAGGTGCCCGATAAAAACTACCCGACATAGGAAATAATAAAAAGGCACACGTTTCGTAGTTTACGTACTTTGTTTCTTACATTCGAACGTTTTCTAACCGTCATAAAAATGCACGACGGAGTCATTTTCATAGATTAACAGGACGGGCATATATAAGTGCCACCGCAATGCTAGCGAACCTTGAACATACTCTACATTCTTTTCGATCGTTAGTTTGCTTAGAATCGTCGCTCGTTTTCACATACCTGCCATGGAACATAGGTTTGGGCCTGATAAGTATATAGCGAAGCTTAACATCGTTAAGTGGTAAAGAAAAATGCTGTAATTAAAGCCATTACACTTTTACAATATTAATAAATGTGCATACTATCCGTTACAACCAAAATAATAAAAGTTATTCATGTTATTTTCCTGCGAAGAGACAAATTTCACGCGCGTTTTCCCATAGGAATGCATAGGAGCACCGCAAAAGTGGACTGGTTGCTGTCTGCTTCAATTTGCGTCCCGAAAGTCGCATAGACACTAGCGTCAGTTGAACCTCTAGCGTACATTATAATAACTCTATGGTCGTCACGACGTCTCATCTTCTGGCTGCCGAAGCTCCCGTGGTCTGCCAAGCCGGAGAGCGACCTGCAGCAGAACAGGCGTGGGCCAGATTCGTCAGCGCTGCTGCGACGCCGCTAGGATCGCGGCAGGCGCTAGCGTGACACTTTTGTGACGTCATCAGGAGAAAATGGAGGGACCATTTTTTTAGGAGACGGTGAAACATACCAGCTAGACACGCGTTCCGGGCAGTGTTGTACACGTTCCTCAAAAAAAGGAACGAAAGCTCGTTCCTCGTTCTTTCTGATTTTTGGAACGCGTTCCCGTTACAAGTTCCATTTGCGAAAAAGGAACTCGTTCCCGTTCCAGTTTAAAAAATGGAACGTACCGTTACGTGTACGTTACATTTGTATTTTGCTAATTACCGTATTTAATTGGATCAAACAGAGTTTTTTTATGTTTTTTAATCTAGCCCATCGAACGACAACATACGAATTTGAATGCCGTGATGGAAGGACAGGAGAAGGAAAGCGGAAGCAAGGTTTCATTTGTTGATATATTCACGTTTAAAAATCTCAGCTTTGGGCCATATTAATCTTTGTGGTGGGCAATTCAGACGAGCCAAATGAACTGTTGCACACGTGTTTTACAACAATCTTACACGTTTGAATCTAACAAAGTTCCGTGTTCGAACTTAAGAACACTTGGCACTCGATGTTTCTATCCGCAAGACGGGCAAGTGGAGAAAAGGGTAGGGTTTTTGGAAGGGCAGTCTTGAAAGCTGCCAGTCCTTCGTGAAGGTTAGAATTCGTTGTTTTGTTTTAAGGTGTGGGACAACGGGAGAATGAGTAAAGGTTAATTTTTGTATATACTTTAAGTGACCAATGTTCGGGATACAAGGTTGCGTTTCATGTCTGGTCACCTGTTGTTCTGTTGTCACTGTAAATCTCTTTATGAAAGTTCAGTGACGGCTGTAGTCGGCGTTAAATTTCTGGTGTATGACGATTCGTGGAATCAAAGAAAGTAGCTGAGTTTGAGACGTCCCTCTTTCTGTGTCTTTTCTTTCGACTAAAAGTTTTGGTTTTTTGTACTGCAGCCTCGGCCACTGAAAAGAATGTATCGATGTCCATTAGCTTTCCTGCACCTAACTGCTACCAAGAGAAAACCTCACAAAAGAAACCCGAAAGCGCCATTCACGCACTTGCAGCCACGTACGACAGAGAGAGACAAGAGCGGTTTTTAAACTTCTTGCGACGTCTTAGGACCAGCTCCACAGCACCGCATCCAGTCCTAAGTCGTCGCAACAAGCTTAAAAAACCGGTCTTGTCTTGGTCGGTCAGACTCGGGTGCAAGTGTGTAAACGGGCCTTAAACTGCCATTCACATACTTGCAACCGAGTACGACTCAGCGAGACAATACCGGTTTTTAAGCCTCTTACGACGGCGTAGGACCAGACGCGCTGCTTCGGAGCAGGTCGTTCGCCGCCATAAGTTGCTTAAAAACAGGTCTTGTCTCTCACGGTCGTACGCGGTTGCACAAGTGTGCCTTAAGATAAGTAACAAAAAAAGTTAACGAGAACCTGCTCTTCGTAATGATATTGTTTTTATGCATATTAGAATTTCCCCTTTAGAAATAAATTACAAATTACCCCACTGGACGAAAAAAAAAAAAGGAACGCCGTTCCTTCTTCCGTTCCAGTAAAAGCGTAACGCGTTCCCGTTCCAGTTCCACTGATGCAAAATGGAACGGCGGCGTTCCTTCGTTCCGCCGAAAAGAAACGCGTTCCAGGAACGCCGTTCCTTGGAACGCCGTTGCGTACAACATTGGTTCCGGGCACCATAACCGAACTCAGTGCGGCCACTGGGACGCAGGCGGCTCCGTTGACGGACGCGCCCGGCGCTCCGATGGTGCGGCTCACCCCTGACACGGCACGGACGCGCTTCAAGGGCTGCGAGACCGTGGACGCGCTGTTCCGGCACGCCGTGAGCCTGCACTCGGACCGCCCCTGCCTCGGAACGCGACTCGTCAAGAGCCAGACGCAAGAGATAATCGACGGAAAGAGCATCGTCAAGGTGATACAGATACTGTTTTTATTGGGACTCCTCAAGTCGCGGGTAGGAGAGCGAAAGGCGAAGAGATGTTACCTATCGAGGTCCCCATTACACTTGTACATTGCTTATTAGTAAAACAAATAAAAAACTAGAAGAGGTATGATGGAGACATGTATGAATGCGCTCTTTACTTTCCTGCATAACATAAACCGCAAGAAGACAAGCCAGGAACACACTTGTCCCAATAAAAAAAGGAAAAAAAAAAAAAACGGAATAAAACAATAGTAACAACAAGCACAATAAAAATAGCTATAATTTAAGTGTTGCAGAAAAGAAAAAAAGACACAGGGCAGCAATTTGATGATTGAGGCAGATTTGTAGAAACCACAGGGTTAGTTATCTATGAATGCGATAGATTTCTCGTTGCACACTTCCAAATTTAACGGAAAAACTGAATTGGGGCATAGCTTGTAGGACGTCAACGTCAGAGCACCGAGCTCTGATTGGCTCTGGTTGAAGGATGGTGGGTATACCCCAAGGCAGCAAGCTTTGAGGTCTACCCACTATCCTTCAACCAGAGCCAATCAGGGCTCGGTATTGTTATGTCGCCACAACTCCTGCAAAAGAGGCAAATGAACATGCGCTCCGAATGGGCTAGCACTCTTGAAAACGCGGTATAAGTTTCGCACCAGTCGAAGACGCGCTCCGGGACCAATACTCCGACTATGGAAGGCTCGTTAATGCTTTACTTCGGGACACCGTGCAGTACGACCTGGGCGAGTACAAGTGGAAGACGTACGCGGACGTGGAGAGCCAAGTGAACCAGATCGGGCGGGGTCTGGCGGGACTCGGCATCGTTCCCGAGACACGCGTGATCATCTTCGCCGAGACCCGCGAGGAGTGGATACTCGCAGCGTTAGCCTGCTTCCGAAGACGCGTCATTGGTAAGGACGGCACACCACACCTACAACCACTAAAGAGGTTGACTAGCGTAGAAGTTTGGGCTAGTTGGTATTTCATGATTAAAAATTAAAACAGCGCAAGGACACGGACAAGAACAAGAAGGTAGATGGGCAAGGCGCTGTCCGTCTACCTTCTTGTTCTTGTCCGTGTCCTTGCGCTGTTTTAATTTTTAATCACTAAAGAGGCTAAGCTTTAAGCACCGACACTCTATTCCAAGGATCTCTTCTCGGCGCCGCCATTTTGGGTCTTAGTGTAGAGCGGGAACGACGGATGATCGTTTCGATTCAAAAAATCCGACTTCCTTAGCTTCAGATACGGCTACAGAATACTCAGGGAATAAGGGTTTACTTTCACTAGGCCTGTTTCCTGCCATTTCAGATACGGATTAAGGTGGCTGGTGATAACGATTTGAAGCATCAAGGTTACTGAAGTGCATGTTGTTACTCGGAAGCGTTGCTTAGCTATAATGGCTCCAACCACACCAACACTAGCCCGCATCGACGCTTTGAACGGTGCTTCGGGCTGCCGATCTCTCGAAACTGGTGACCACAAAGCCGCAGCTTTCATTTCGAGAATCGAGAGGTGTTTAGTAAGATACCAACAGTTTCTGCCGCGAAAAGGGAGAGATGATGCTGCAACTGGCATAGAACACATAAAAGAAAATATAGCAACAGCTCTGACGTCTACCTACATATGGTAGTGTACAGCAAGGCAAATAATTAAGAACTTCCTTGACAGGAGCTTTCGAAGTGGGCCTGTGAGTGGAGATGAAAAAAAAACAAAAAAAACTACATTCTCGTTATTACAGCTCTCATCTAAACAGAGGACTGTCACAAAACCGAAACAATTTTTCAATTTATAAGATAAAGTAGTGAAAACACTCAATGCCGACGGTGTCATCAACGATATAACTGGAATGGGCTGAGTCACAAAAAATGACAAACCATTTCTGGTGTTTGGCTGTAGTTATTTAAAATATTTAGAAAGTACGAACTATACCCTGTCGAAGAAAGCTACACGCAGTTCAACAGTTTCATAGCGGCTATGCGTGCTGTATGTGTGTCTTCCTCCGTGTGGGTATGGTTCGCATTTTCGAGATATTTCAATTAATTATGTATTAACCGGACCAAACCGAACATTTAACACGTCTATTTTTCTGAACAATTATGCAGTTCTTAACATTACGATAGACTCACGTTAATTGAACTCCTTGAATCACGCTTCGAGTGTGCCTCTCATATTGTTTCATTCGATGGGTGCTCTTGGGCAGAAAATTTCAGCAAACTCGGTGAGGAAAAAAAAAAATACGGCTTATGGTCGCCACGATTAAATGAGATGATGCCGTTTATGGAAAACAACACCTTCGCATTTTATGTCAAACTTTTGTTACATACTATAAATTCTCTCATTTACGCATTAGGTGACATCAGAAACGTGCATCTTTTTTTATGTTGTTTACTCGCAAAAGTCAAGTTGGCGAGATTGGTTACAAACACATTGCAACAAGTCACGCACTCGATAAGTAATAGCAGTACTACGACTATCTGATGCATAAACTCTAGTTCGCGCAGCTCCGTAAACGAGCCCGCGTCTCCAGGAAGACAACGACATTTGCGCGCATAGTTTTAAAAATTTGCAAACTTATAACAGTAGCAAAAAAAAAAAAAAAAAAGAAAAGAAAACGGAGAACGGCGAAGGGGCATTATCCTATTAGTCTTTAAGCGTTGCTTTTTTTTTTCCTTACTTTACAAAAAAAGAAAATGCGCCGAATCAGAATAATGGCATTTAGGAGCGGCCGGAATCTTGACTGTTCCTGATAGGCCCATGCTCCATTGTAACTTTCGACGGGCTACTGTGGAGGTCACGAGCCACGCCATCGAATCCAGCTCCGTGAGTGTGTCACGTGATGACGCACTCCACGCGTCGCTGCGTCCCTCCAAAGGTTCACGTGACGGTTACGTGCCATTGAATTGGCTTCGATGGCTCGTCGCGTCCTGCGCGGTTCATCATGAGAGGAAACGAAGCCTAGTTTACGGGGTAACGATCGCACAAACAAAACGGAATGTCCCCTTTTAGATGTGTTAATGTAACGGAATGCACGACGTAAAATAAATTTAAGAAATCCAAGATTCTCGGATGCACTCCACGTGCGCTGCTTTCAAAGTGCGCCATTCCGTAATCTTGTTGACTCGCTGCGGGAAAAAAAGGTCATCCTTTTTAATGCCACGCACTTTCTGTGGTCGGAGGAACGCGCGCAGCTTAGATGCGCTTTACACGAGCATGAACTCGTGCTTCTTTTTGCATATATTATGTAAAAAGTGACTATTTTATTGTTATGGCTGTTTTTAATAATAATTCGAAAATCTTTTTTATAGAAAGTTTGCCTCTCGTTTCTCATTCCCACCTCCCCTAAACCTACACGATGCAAAACAACAACAACAAAAAAGCTTGCGCGTCTATATTTTTTTCTGGTGCTTGCAGACTATCACTGATCTCGACCTAGACAACCTAACAAATCACCAGGTTCTTGTAAACTTTCAATCCGATATCATGATCTGTGTGCTGGACATGTATTGAGCATGACGCCTCAAATAAGGAATCCCGAAATCCGAGTCCATATATATATTTTAGGACTAAAGGATTTTGTCATTCAACTGGCTTCTGAGATTTGGGTGGGTTTGGCCGGGAGGGCTCTATGAATCCTCGTTCAATTTCCGAACATGACATGCAAAAGTGATATTCGCAGCTCCAGCTCGGGCCTTACGGATTTTCCCTATAATGTAAGCCAGTGTCCGGGAGTTTTCGGGGATTAGCGCAGAAAGGCGGGCGTGGTTCCACCAAGCTAGAAAGCCGCGTCCCAGTCGATGTGACATTTTTCATGCGCCTACAGTGTGCACCATCTACGCCACCCTGGGTGATGAAGGGATCGTCTTCAGCGTCAACGAGACGGAAGGCCGTGTGATGATCACCTCCGAGGAGCTCTTACCGAGGCTGCAGGTTTGTGCACGGTTCCGTTCCCGCCTTCGCGTCGTGTCATGATCGCAGCTCTGTCTACACCGAGACGGGATGTTCGTTGTTGATTTGTCAAAAAATAAATAATAATGCACCGTTTACTGCGACGGTTTTATTTGCCAGATATTTTATCTAGAAATCTCGTTCGCAAATACAGCGTCCCGAGTGGAGCACTACGAAAACAAAATAGAGTAAAAATAAAACTAATTCCAAATAACACGTCAATGAACAGTCTGGCCTCTATGTGTGGCCTATACGTGGATAGGGGTCTCTGTATTTTCGTACGATCTGCCTCCTAGCCTATCCGAACTGCATTCGCAAGCTTCGTATCGCAGCCGACAAACCGACATCGACTCGCAGCCGACAAACCAAAATCCACATGCAGGGATTCCTCCAATATCTGTCGTAATGAGCGCACATACAGTTGCAATTAAACTTAACCGGAACACGTCGGGCACGTGTTTTTTTTGTTTTTTTCGCTAGACGTCAGTTTGGCGGCAACTGGTAAAAGTAGGTGCAAGCAATGGGTCACTGGGAGATAAATGGGTCCATGGCATTGGGCGGAAAATTTTTGGGACATCGGTATAGCTCCTAAATATCATGCGGGCAGAAAACAAAAACCCTCTCTTATTATATTGTTGGGCGTTTTTACGCTGCACTTCCCATTACGGAGCTCGTTTCGAGACAATAAATCAACCAAATCAAAGCGTTCAGCCAGGCTATACACTCCGCGGAGGAAAAAAAAATGCACGAACGCGCGCTCCAGTTAACTTTGATTGGGACTGTATGTCTGTTGTAAATATAAATGTCATAAAATAAAAAAAAGAAAATCCTTTCCACCCAGTACTGGGACAACCAATCACTGCGATTTACGAAGTGAGTCGGGCAAATGACGTGAAAAACAACAACAACTTAGATTTGCATGAGCACGATGGTTAACTTTGCTCACACCAAGTTGCACCAGGAGTTTCATCTTTATAAAGGTAATGTCTTCGGCTAGATATGTTTACGTCTCTTTGTCACGGACAGCTTGAGAAACGCAGGGCGTTACGCTTCGCGACTGGTTCTCCGGCGTTCTTATCGAGTAATGCCGCGGTCTCATTGACAACGGAGTTAAAATAAAATGCTCAGGACTGTCGCCTCGCCCCGCCTGTCTTAAAGACCGACGACTATAGACTCGATATTCTGCAAGGCAGAAGATCCTCCTCACCATGGGGGAGGAGGAAAGAGGCAGCGGTGGACAGGTTACAAGGAGAGAGAGGAGGAAGCGAGGAAAAGTGAAAAGCGCGAACTGATCGTCGGTCTGTGAGTCCCCTCTCTTCACGTCACAGGGCCGAATGTTCGACGTCACCTAAAAAAGGCCAACTCAGGGCATCGATTGGAAAGGACGCTGACGCAGCAGTACTCGTGTGCAATCGCGACGCCCCGCGTAGGCCTTCTTTAGGCGACGTCAAACAATTGACTCGCTATTTTGGGGAGGTGTTAGATCGCTGCACGGACTCGATAATAAGACCGCCTCGTTTTCGGATGAACTCGGGACGATTCTCGAACGTCGGGGGGAAGGGGGGGGGGGGGGGGGGGCAGCGTGGTTTCGACTCTTAGCACGATAAACGATGAGCCATATCTTAGCCTCCTCTATACTCACAAAGCCTGGAAGTCCGACGACGGAGCCATAGAGTCGCCGGTCGCCGATTTGGAGCGCGAGGATCTGGTAGCACAGAGCAAAGAGTCATTTCTCGGGGAACATGGACGTCAGCCCACAGCTTTTGCAGTGGCGAGGACCCGAACTTATACTTGTTCGCCCGGGAGAAGTGTGTTTCGGCGTCTCGCCGCAGTGGGACGCCAGCCACGTGGCTCTCCTCTCATCCGTTTTCAGCCGCTCTACTTTTTCCTTCGGCCACCGCTTCTCGTGGCTATCTGCCAGGCTTTGTCAGTTTATAGGAGGCTGTGGCCTTATGGTCACTGACAGAGTGAGAACGGCTGCGCGTGTCTTTCGGATGCCTGGCCTCGCGCTCGTTTCCCTCCACCGTTCTCTGGCTGCACGCTCGAGGCTCGCTATAGGAGGTGCCACTTATTTTCCAATATGGCGGTTACAGTGAGGGTCGGAGATGCGTGCCGCTGCTGAGCCTGTCTAGTGTGCTGGCTTCACTGAGCGACACAAATTATGTCTGGTAATATGAGGGAGCTAGGGTGTTATGTGCGCAGGTCACCTCTTTATTCTGAAAGCAAAAACGGTGTTTAGCGTAATTCTTACTCCAGGAGGCAGGTTTTAATTCTAGAGCGAAACCGAAACTAATGTTTATTTCTGATTCAATTTCTCGATATAGGTGTTAATTTCGAATTCTTTCATAGCTCAAGATGTGTCTCACATCGTAATTATTTAGTTAAATAAGTTGTTCCCTGAAACTTCATTTTATGACATACATGTTCGATTCAGGCACTTCAAAATATTTCGGAGATTTCAGTGTCCCTTTAAAGACAGAGTCTTGCATACACCTTAGAGGTAACATAGAATATTGTAGTTGTTGAAAAAATCAGTGCTGATATTTGTGCGTTCTCGCTGCCTTTTCTCGATCAACAAATTGTCATGTGAAATAATAAACTGCAGGCCTTTTAATGGGTTTTGGGGTAGTTAGATGACTATTGGTGTTTATTTTTTAAGCACAAGAATAACAAAATAAATACAATTTTTACAATATGTCCACAAAACGTATAAATTAATAAACGCTGTTCTCACTACAGCTACCCAAGGACGAAACCCGAGTCAGACAGCTGAAGTGTGTGTGGTTTTGTAAAGCAACGCGTAACGTATAGGCCTTTATATTGCATCCAGTTTTTGACTGTTTATCTTTATTACGATGGCAGAGTTTTTCATATGCTAAAAAGAAAAAACAAAAATGATACTTTTCTGGAAGGACTAATATGGTTAAATGGCGTATTTTTCTGATTGCAGCGTTAATTGCGGGCATACATTGCCGTGATTTGAATTAATAATAATATTAAAATTCAGATATTTTAATACGCAATTTTTCAAGCTCTAATATAATTTGTTTTTTATGATCTAATTTTAGACACGCGAACAAGTATGATGATCAAGAATGCGCTAATTATATATCATCACTGGTGCCAATTGCAGCTTTTTTAATTACCAAGTTATAAAATAAAAATAACCTAAAATCAATCAAAACATTCTCGCTAATGCGAGAAAGTCATGTAAAATTGCACTAATTGTGGGTAAAGCATATTTTGATATCAAAGTCGCGACTTTTGATCCTCAGCACAAGTTACAAAGTCGCCGCCAATATCCTTCCAAAGGCCTCCCCCTCCCCCCCCCCCCCCCCAAAAAAAAAATAAAATAAATAAAATAACATATTACCAATCTTTACAAACATTTAATTACTTTCATTTTTACGCGCCGTCGTTTTGCCAATCGCAGCTTTTTTAGATCGAAGGAACGCCTACTTGCTTGCACCTCTGCTCACTGCAGCACGTTGCGTTGGCGTTGGAAGCCGGGGAAACAGTTGCGAGTTTTAGTACTGCGTATACGAGCGAAAGCAAGCGCTGTGTGTTTGCGTTAGCTTTGCGTGTTCCACACTGCGCGTGCGCGGAGCCCAAAATTGCGATCTTGGATTTGAGCATGGCGATTACGCCCGTTCACAACGTGGGGCACGTAACTCGAACGCAAACGCACTGGGCTTGCGTTTGCTTTTATACGCAACACTAAAACTCTCCAGTAAGGCTTAATCTTATACCGGCAGCAGCACTACATTAAGACAGGGAAGACTGTTGTTTGCGTTCGGAAATGAGATCTCGCGATCCCTGATCGCGCGCAGTTCCGCTGTGCCCGCTGAATAGGAGAATCGGGGGACCCTCACTAGAGCGCTTCCCGTTTTCGCCGCGGGAGGGCGAGCGTCGAGCTGGAGACGCGAATAGGAAGCTCGCGCTGGACGATTGAAACTTTCTCTCTGCTGCTCCCGTCCTGTCAGCGACCACTGGCGACGAGATGCTTCGGTTAGTGGACAGGCTGCAGGTTCGCACACTCGCGACTGCTTAGGACCGTGCGTCTTGAAACCTCTTAAAATTCTTTTACGACGAGAGAATTAACACGCTGGCGTCGCTGTCGGGGAGCCGGGGAAGGCTGGGCAATCCCGTAGATTTCCTTTTTAACGTGAAGCGTTCTTTGGCAAGGTGCTAGGTGTTTTGAGAAGCCTGATAAACATGGCCGCGAAGCTCGATGCTGGTTGATAAACGGGGCTGTCGCGTGACCAGATGGGAAGGAAAGGAGCTCCACCACCTGTGCGCACTGAGGGAAGGGATCTCGAGAGAGTGGAAGGCTCTGGAAGATCGCCAGGTTTATCAGCCCGTAATATACGGGAAACTCGGAGTATCGCTAAACCTTTGTGATGCTAGAACGTTTTACCTGTTAATGGTATAGCAATCTGCCATACTTCTTTCCTTTTTCACGCGTCATTCTTTACTTTTTGGCTTTGAAAAGGTTTGTGTTTGTTATAAACGACCATATCTTATAGTATATTGTACGTATATTTGATCTCGCAAATACCGCACAACCTTCCCTCTAGTGAAATTCAGTTCCATGGTCACCGCGAGCGTACCAGTGTGTTCTCTATAGTGCTCTCTCGCCGTAAGAAATTTTAAGAGGTTTTAAGGCACACGGTGTCCTAAGCAGTCGCAGGTGTGAGTGGGCCCTTACGGTTCATACATTTGCGACGTCATGATCAGGCCAACCACAATCGTCTTCTGCAGGGCAGAAAACCGGTTCCCAATTTCCTTCTGTCCATTTCTTCCTCGCACTCTTCTCGCCTAATTTCCCCACGGAGAGGGTCTCTGAGCTAGCTACTCCCCCGTAGAGAGGAGGAGGGTCTTCCCCTTTCTTGAATGGAAAGAGGAATTAGGAGAGGCTTCTTCTTTCTGGCTGCTTGTCGCCTTTCCGCTCAAGGTGACTGTCTGACATCCTTCTTATTTCCAATAAAGAAAAAAGGGTTTATCATACTCAAGACGTCAGGTGACAGGTGAAGAACCAAGGGCCAGAGAAAAGGCTGGGGAAGAGAAAGCAGATGGAATGCTTGAGAGGAGAGGAGGAAACCACCCCCTCTTTCCAGCATTCCCCTTGCTTCCTCCTTCCCAGCCTTCCTTTCCTGTTCTTGGCACTGTTATCGACGAAAGTAGGCGCTTGTTCAATTTTGGAAGGCCGACCACAGTGACGCTTTTGATCGGGCACGTCGCCGATAGTGCCGCGAAAGTGGTGCACTAAAATGCACAAATGCTTTAACGATTTGGTCTGTGTTTCCACTCAGAAACTGATGCGCCGATTGCGTCATGTGAAGCGCATCATCTACATGCCGGCAAGGGGAGAATCGAGAAGCATTCCAGACATGGCCCCAGCGATCGTCATGCCTTTCGCGGACCTACTTGCAAGCGCAACAGTCGCAGGAGGTTAGTGAGATGGTTTTTCAAGGGCACTTCCATCCGTTTGGACCTCGATTTCTTTCTAGAACACCGACGTAATTTTCAGCAAAGACGCACACGCGACTGCGTACACAGGAGAAACATATTTGTGGATCCTTGGAGCGCTACAACTGTGGCCATTGATACAGCATTCGGGACAAATTAATCGCACTTTGTTGGCAGAATACTGTACTTAACCCCAACAAGGGATTGGCGTCTTAGAGCGCAGCTCTTAGGCGTCCGTTTCCGGCTTGAGCGGCGTCGCCGTCGGCGTGACCGCGCGGTGCATTATAGGTAAATTTACCCGCTAAATTCAGCGGGAAATTTTCCCCACTAAATCTAGCGGGAAAATTTGCCCGCTAATTCTAGCGGAAACATTTCCCCGCTAAATCTAGTGGAAAAGTTTCCCGTTAAATTTAGCGGCAAAATTTCCCCCCTAAATTTCCCTAAATGGAAGGCGAGCAGGAGGGGAGGAGGGGCATAGCCTCCTTTCCGTACCTTCCGCTCCTCCTCCTCCTCATGAGCTGCGCTCTAATTCGGCGTTACAGGGAGTTAGTTGTAAACGGCTTTTTTTTTTGCTTTTTTCATGCAATTTGGCATCAGGAGCAGAACTTTGTTTAGTTCCTGCCACACACGAATTTGGTCTTAGTAATAACTTTGGTGGTCGCACTGTAGCACGAGAAATAAAATAAAGGTTTGCAAACTTGGCTATTTTAGTTCCCTTTGACACCTTTTATGGCAGGAAATTTAATGCCATAAAATGCCATTTATGCCAGTTAGCACTTGTTTTGTGTGCTTCTTCGTCTTTTTGTCCCGTCTCTTTTGCGTTGTTTTTAATATGAACAGGAAAACCAATTTCTTATCCTTCATTTTTTTTTTTTTTTCATTTTTGTCACAGAAATATTATTTCTCAAGCCGAATTGGATTTTCGAGGTATTAGGAGGTTTTATGTAAAAACTAGGCGTGCAGCCAGGGAAAAATATTAAACGGGGAGAGTTTCTCATCAATGTGCAGATTTACAAACATTATCGCAGGACTGAACGACCTGGCGCCGCTGAAATACAACTGCAATCCCGTACCGCATAGTTTAATTTCTGAAGTTACTAATATTGCTCCCGATAAACTACAGATATAATGTCTAAATACCTCGTGGCCTCGAGGGCATTTATTTAAATAGGCATAGACATTAGCATTCATAAACAACATAAATCTTTATATGGTACCGGGTGCGAGGTACTGCGCGATAAAGCTAAAATATCTCACGTGTTTCTGCGGGCAGAATCACCACCAGTGGTTCCAGTGGCTACTGATGTTGTCATCATCATGTACACAAGTGGTTCAACGGGTACACCAAAAGGCAAGTCAGAAAAACTACCACAGTTTTCCTGTCTATTTATTTTCTTTTCTTTAACGCTCGTTTCTGTAGAAAAATGAAACCACGTGGGAAAATAAAGCAGGTGTATTTCAATTTGTCGATTAAACTTTCATGTGCAAAATTGTGTTTTCTGGAAAACGCAGCGAATGTTCAACTTCATCCGCCTTCCCAGTAAGTGACGAAGTGTTTAGCGTCACTACGTCTCCCTTTTGTACCGTTTATTTTTTTAATTATTTTCGAATCCTTTGAAGCAGGCGAAGTCTTCTCTAAACATCTAAAAGCACTTTCTCCTGTCTCTTCGGTTTTCTTTTTTTTTTTTCCTTTGGTGTTATTTGTTTTTTTTCTAATTGCGCGGGGGGTGTAGCTGGCGGAGATCGCGGCGCAAGTGTTTGACAGCCGGCCAACTCTCTTCCAGCATGCCCGCCGTGACACACTCTGCGCTTTTCATGGCTAAATCAAATTTGGCTCCAGTAAGAATGAAATTCTGCATTAAAACGTGCGCATACTACTTTTACCGAAATGCCCGAAGAGAGTACTTTCTTAAAAATGCCTGCGCGTCTACTTACCCGCAAAACACTCCAAGAGCCAATCTCCGCGATCTATACAAAGCCAGCTCAGCGAATGATGAGGCTAAACATCTGTTTAGACCTCAAGATTAAGGTGCGCTGTGGCATTACGCAATGCAAGCCTGACGCTTTGCATTGCGTAATCCCACAGTGCAGGCTTCATTTGTAGTTCTAAACGGATGTTCCGCCTCATCATGTGCTGAGCTTATTTCCTAGATCGCAGAGATTGCCTCATTGAGTGTTTTGCGGGTAAGTAGACAGACGCGCAGGCATTTTTTCAGGCTATAGGTATATTCAATATCGATGTGCTGAATATAGCCGAGGTACTTACGGTACACCGCTCGACCGAGTGAGTAAAAACGCGGCATTTTCTTTTAATTGGAAAGGGTTAGTATCGAACACTTAATTTCATTGTCTAAACTGATGTCTCAACTTGGTCAGTGAAACTCTGTCCTCAGCTTTTATACCAACTTTTTAACTGTAAAAAAAAAAAAAAGGTAAAACTAGCGGACACATGTTCGTAAGCTATCTGTGTCGTGTTTTGTAATTTGTTCACACTTCTGGCTTCGTGATTGGTTCCTTGGTGTCCTTATCAATTGATACCTCAATCTGGTAGACTACCGATCGATAATGATATTCCTTGGACTTGCCACCACGCCCTGGGTTTCTTATGCTGTCGGCAACTCTAATGGCGGCGATTTCTTTTCGCATGTTTCGTGATTACGCAGGTGTGATCCTCACCAATGGCAACGTAGTGGCGTTCGTTCTCGGGATAGCCAGTGTGCTGCACAATTTCACGTGAGTATTCGACTGCTTCCGAGGTTATAGATCGACTGCGCTCTAAATAAACAACTGGACAAAGACGAGCTTTGTTGGGGTGCTGACAGGGCACACGGTTATAAGTTCACCGTTTCACGAGCTAGCTGTTTCGCAACTCTCTGCCTGACGATGAGCGAATCTTCTGTCGAACGTTTAGAAGGACAGGAAACGGGTTTGTGAATTTCGCCGCTGAGATTAGTTTTCCCTCTAAATTTAGGCGAGAAAGTTTTACCCGATAGATATAGCGGGACATCTTGCCAACTAATTTTAGCGGAGCGCCGAGACCCTACACCTAGCACACCAGGGGATCTGCTGCGAAACATCGGCAATAACAGGTACTGCCTAAAAAAGAAAAGTATTAACTTCAATATTTTGGAGCTTTGCGAAAAAAAACAAACATGAAGGAATGATATTTTGAATACATTCAAGTGAACACTTTCGCACGTGAGACGGATTGGTTCCGTAACAATTATTCCCATAATCGAGCTCTTTTCCTGGCAAGCTTGTCTAATAATTTAAATGTCTGAACATGTAGAGGAGTTGGTGACCGCGCTCAGAAACATTAACCTGTTGTTTTCCAATTGTTGCATGATGATGCATCTGACTCGTGTGCGGAGGACATGCCAGTCTTACGAACGGAGCCCTTTGGTGATACATGTCCGCTCGCTTCTGACGGCGTTTCGGTACTCTGGATGGAGAACGCTATATACGAAGGAAAAATGCGCAAACATGCCCGTTTCCATGTTTAGGACCCGTTGTCGTTCTTCACTCGGGCGTGTCCGGTGGCGGCGGCGACATTTTAATGACGAAGGCTTTTTTATGTGTCCTTCTATATGGTGATGGCCGTTTTTACATGAGCACCCCGTTTGCAGGACCAGTCTCGGAAAAAGCGAAGCGCTGTAAGGATTTACATATTTTTTTTTTGCTTTCCATGAAAGATGACGAGTCCCAGTTTCGGCGATATATATATACATATAATAAATACGATTTAAATCATTTACCTCCTTTTTACAATATATATATATCATATTATATAACATTATATCACATTATATAACATTATATCACATTATATCACATTATATCACATTATATCACATTATATCATATTATATCATAATATATCATATTATATCAACAATTGGGATTGCCCTTAAAAGCTGCGCCAGAAACGACGGGATGAGGCGATGCAAGTTGAAACGTTTCGGGCCGGGCAGGTCCTTCTTCAGTCAACCGCAAAACTGATCACTATTTATCGCAAGTTGTCACCTTGTCAATCGCAAGATCACCTTGTCAATCGCAAGTTGATCAGTCTTGCGACTGACTGAAGAAGGACCTGCCCGGCCCGAGACGTTTCAACACTCATCGCCCTCATCCCGTCGTATATTAAAAAAAAAAAAAAAAGAGCTATTTTTTGTTGTTTATTTTTTTTTTTTATTTTAGGGCACAAGATGTGTACCTTGGATTCCTCCCTCTCGCTCACGTCATGGAGATAGCAGCCGGTAAGCGCGTGCCAAGGAACGTTCGAAGACATGGCGGTCGGAGGCAGTCTTTACCAGTCTTGGGTAGTAACGCGTTACTAGTAACGCGTTACTGTAACTTCGTTACTTTTTTGGTAACTTGTAACTGTAACGAGTTACTTTTTAAAAATGTAACTTGTAACTGTAGTTCTATTACTGTTTCTGAGGTAACGATGAAAGTAACGACGTTACTTTTCTCGTTACTTTCCAGTTTTTTTATAAATAATATACCACTGAACGAGTACAATTTAAAATTATTTGCGCTTTCCAAATTGTCTCTTCCGACATTTCGAGTGTCAAGTTATTTTTGCACAAACTTGTGAATACGTTCTTTCTCGCGAGTCACGACCCGAATATAGCCACGTGTAGATTTTATGAAAAAAATATCCAGTTATCTTTACGCACGCTCTTGTACTTTGTGACTGAACAATTGCATCATAGTATCTTGAAGCCCTATCTCTGTTGCGTTTTTTTTTTTTCTGCGCAAACGCTTTTAATCGTGTGAATTAACCGTGAAACAACAATACACGCGGAGGACACTGCGAATTTTTTGTATTTTGATTTGCGGAACTACTCCAGCGTAGTGTCAGCAGTCGAGGCAAAAGTTACTATTGTTTCCGCGGGGTTTGTTTCTGGCTCGCCGGGTACGAACTGAAATATGTCCAGGGACTCCATGAACCCAGCGGAACCATCAACGAGCCAGCAATATGCCTGTGCTGCCAAGGATATGAATGTTGATGACAACAAAGAAGGACTACCGTGGCCGCCGTACAGAGAGTATTTTGCTGTGGCGTAGGCGGTTACTAACAACTTCACAGCAGGAAACGACATTCTATTGCCTCAACGTCTGCCCGGCAATCTAAAGCCTGTTCCTGCGACACAACACAGCAGTCCCATCCAGCGCGCCAGATGAGTGACTGTTCAACAAGGGCAGGGACGTGTTCCTTATCAAACAAGGGAAACTTAGACACTAATTTCGAGAAGCAACTGCTGCTAAGTTACAATATAAAGTAAGAAGCATACTTTTTAATTTTATGCAATAGAACTTGGTGAAAAGCGTTTTCTAGTTTTTCCTAAATTTTTTTTTGTTATACAAAAGTAACTGAAAAGTAACGTCGTTACTTCTTAAAAGTAACTGTAACTGTAACGAGTTACTCTTTTGTTGCGGTAACTGTAACGGTAACTTCACTACTTTTTTCTGAAAGTAACTGTAACTGTAACAAATTACTTTTTAAAAGTAACTTACCCAAGACTGGTCTTTACGCTGTTTCTCTTGGCTGTTTGATGTTAGATTTTCTTTTTTGTAACTCGTCAGGTATCGATATTAAGCGCCGATTCAGGCCTATATGTCTTCTCCACACGACTTGAAACCGGTGACGAAGGGACTTCAGGAGGACGAACACACGCGTCTCAAACGTAACTGAGTAGATTTTGTTCGTACATCGTGCCTTATGTTCATGATGCGTTCACGCGTCGTGTATCGTCTATTGTGCACGGCTTCACGTAGTGGCTTTTCTTCGATCCTTCTTTCCACCCTTGGTGTCGAGAGCCACCCGAATATAATAAAATGATTACCGCGAATTTGCCGTAGGGCGGTTCAGAGCGTCTCCGTCCAAACAAACATATATGACAAGCTTGATTATCTTAGGTACCTTTTACTGCAAAAGAAATTATTTTCCGTATAAAAACATAGAATTGTTTTTTTCCCGTTTACTCGTAAATTTATTATAGACACTGAAATGTTAAGAAGCGTAGGCTGTGACTTATCTTCACATTTCTTGCGTCGTGATTTAATCTTCGGTGCTCTTATTGGTTAGTGCCGAAGTCTTCTTGGCTGTGGAAAACAAATAAGGTGCTAAAGATCAATCCCGCCCTCCCTTTCTTAAGTTTCCACTGGCTAAAGCTCTGGTTTATTCTCTGTGACAAGAACAACGATCTTAATTAGCTGGAGTGCAGATTGAACGTGCAACATTGGGCGTTTCTCCCACTCAAGAAATTAGCTCTTCGCGGAAGATAAATGAGACCTATCTAGTTCCGAGCATGCGCTGCGAAAATCACTACCACACGTCTTCGCCTCTTTTTTTTCTTCTCCCTTCTCCTCTATCACTTGGCTAAAATCTGTAAAATCAAAAAAAGCCTAAGAATAACAGCCACGCAACACCTAACATTTTTCGGTATTTTTTTTCTTCATTTGTTTCACTCTTTTCAGAATGTTGTTTTATGGCACTTGGTTTGAGGATCGGCTATTCAAGTCCCTTTACACTTACTGATCAAGTAAGTTGCATTTCTTCTAGGAGTAGTCCGCAACGTGTCTTAGAATCTACTTTATTGCTTCGTTAGCACAAACAGTCGAAACATGACCTCCGAGATTTTTGGCACGCGAAGCTCTCCTTTCCAAACACTGGTTTGCCCAGCAGAAGGAACGTATAGCACGGCTTCTCTAGATGGCGCTGATACAGAGTCGGCATCAGTATCTGAAACGCTAAATGCGTGCACGTGGTATAGAGCTCGTATTTTCGTTAACACCGCCAAGGATGAGACGCGCGAGGGCTTCGAGACGTGACCCAAGTGGTGCTCAGCTCGTGCGCTGGCTCTGGCAGTGGTTTCTTTTCCTCTGCCTTCGCTAAGACGCGAATAGGCCTATTGTTAAATTACCCAAGCATCAAGGAGGATACTGGGAATGTAGGTTTACGCGCCGCACGCGCTCGCCCTCCTCACATAAAAGATTTGAAGTAAATAACTAAAATAAAATGGCATCTTGCACGCGCGAGAAGGCGAGCGCGTGCGGCGCGCGCAGACCTACTTTCCGAGCATTCTCGTTAATGCTTGGGTAATTTAGCAATAGGCCTATTCTAGCAAAGCTGGCCTTGATCATAAGTAAACAGGGCAGAGACTGTCACAGAAAATTCTACTGCGGCGAAAGGGCTCAAGCCGTCAGTGCTTTGCCGAAAACAAAGTGCCGAGGAGACGGCGTCCGAGGACCAATCAGAAACCATGAGTAAAATTAAACAAAAATGTTACGAAAGCAACGATGTACTTTGAAGTCCCAAGCAATGGACAAGACCCCCCAAAGAGCTCCTCTGCTATTCAGTAACGCGATTTGCGAGGGAAGAATGAGCATGACGTTTCGCCCGCTCAGTCTTACAAAGGAAATAATAAGTTTAGGTCAGTAACTTTATTTGGACTCTTTATCCCGTAATATTCCGAGAGATGCTCTACCCCCGAAAGATAGCCCACCACTATATTTGGTTTGATTTGCTATTTTTTTTTAAACACCGAAAGATACCCGACTTTTAGTAATATTAGTATTGGAGTCAATGAGGAATTCGGCGTAAATGTGGCTAGTTAGCTATGGCGGAATATAAGCGAACGTTGCTAGCTGGGAAGCACAGTCATTTTTGCTTCGTTGCCCCTCGCCACCATAACAAGCTTGAAAGGAACATGACCTAAAAATAGTAAGGTTTTAAAATTTTCTTCATTGTACACCGAAAGTTAGGTCACTCCATATTTTCACCTGATTTGCCGTTTATGTTGGGTGGGTTCTCTCTTGGGATTTTACGGTAGTCACAATTTTTCGACCAAAATGATTGGATAGTTCGTCTGAAAAAGTCGCGCATTTACTCTACACCTTTCCCAATCTTAAAAAGAGCAATTGACACTCAAATTTTAACCAACCTCTTCCTTGAAACAGTAATGTATGTTGTGGTAGCGCATTTTTACTACCCGGGCAGCTAGCCAAGCAGGACCGACGATGCCCATTTCCGGCCCTGTACCTAGCGCCACGGCGCGGCGGAAACAGCCGCGAGTCATTTTTGCCTATTCGTCAGTCTCTGCTGCCGAATGGAGCGGCCGGAGGTGAGCCTTGAGTGCCGAGAATCTCGGAGGCCATTGTCGAATGCAAATAAAAATGAAATGTTTAGTTGCTAATCAATCAATAAATTACCTACTTGGTTCTCAACGAAAATATCAAGCAATAGTTTAATCCATACGGTGGTTCACTGCAATATATAAAGGCGTTTCTGTTTTAGGATGTTGCATCTATATAATTGTTGATAAAACACCTTATTTTTTTTTAATAATTCAGGTGTTCAGAAAATTTCTTTTGTTTTAACAGAACTAAAGTATAGAACAGCCGTGTGGAAACCGACTAAAATGCAGAGAAATATGCTTGGGCAAATGAATGTAGAAATATATTTTTCTGTTTGCGAAAGTGTTTTTTTTTTTTTTTTGGTTGCATGTTTCGCACTTTTAATATTTGTCAGCGGAACTTTTCTTCAAATTACTCTTAGAATAATTGTGTATTCCCCAATTAAAATTACCTAGCATGTTGTAACAATTAAGTTGGCAAAATATATATTAAACTGAAGGCAGCAGTGATAGTTGCGGTGTTTCGTGTGACCCAAAAGTATAGGACATAAAGAAATAAGTACAAGGTCCCCAAACTGCGACACGTATTGGTTTATTGGTCGAGGAAAGAAGTCCTCCTAAAAGATACAATAGAGCATTAGACCGTTATTTATGTTGAGCAGCTGGGGCAGCGATTGTAAAATAGGTCGAGACGTGTTGTTTCTTCTTTTTTTTAACAACCTGGGATACTTTCTGCGTCTACCTCGCAGCCTGCTGTTGACCAAACATTACGATCTGAGAACCATGCCCAACGAAGGACAGCCACAAAAAATACCAGTTAGAATTGAAAACGCAAACGGTGCACACGATATCATCAGTATCACGTTTCAGCTAATCATTGTCAATTCGCAGATTGCATCTTTTCAGCGGGACAACTTTTTAAGCTTCGTCATTGGCTTGACGTGCTCTGTAGATCTGACGGCTGGATATCTGCCTGCTGTGTAAGAATGTAAACGCGCTTACATTTTTTTTTTACTCGGGTCTTTTGATGATAGAGTAATTTATTAATGCCACCGTAGGTGCGTGTTATTAGCTGAGGACGATATAAGCAGTCGACTTCGTGGTGTGTTAAAACAGTTATACAAAAAGTATTTATTAAACTGATTCATTACATCATAAATATAACAGCGGCCGGGCCGGACGCGAAATTCGTCCGCAGCTAACTCGTGATGTAGTTAATCAGTTTAATAAGTAAATTTTGTAGAATATCACAATACACCACGGAGTTGGACTGCTTTTATCGTGGCTTGGTTGTTTTCTCGACACCGGACGCAAGTCCGACTCCTGACCTGAAGCATCTCTGCCGGGCGCCGGGGATAGCCGACACCATCCGAGAGCCCCCGTGGCGCGGCGGAATAGACACCTTTGGCGGAACACCGACAGCGAGAGAGAAGAAACAACATGCAAATTACTATATTGCCGTATATCTTAAATTTATAATAGGTGACATGTTATAATTAGGGTTCCGCGTTTTCGGTTTCTATTTTTTCAAAATTCGGCGTACTTCTTTCGGTGTTTATTTTAAAATTCAATTTTCGGTTTTTTTCGGCGTATATTTATGCCCACAAAATTTTATCGGCGTTTTTCAGTGTATATACAATAAACACCAACGGTCACCGGATCAGATGATTCTTGTAGCTCTGATATTTTTGATCATTCAAAGAATAAAGGCACAGATACATTGAAAAATGAAATGGACACTTTATTTGGCTAATGTGTGCAACTGTAAAAGAAACAAGAAAAAAACAGAAGTACAGACAAGTCAGATATAAAGCCTATTTCCAAAAAAAAAAATGGAACTTTACCGTCTGTACGTCAGGATTACGTGATCTTATTATAGTACACACACATGTACATTCCCAAGTTCTCCTCGTTGATCCGCACTCTTTCTTCCCTGTTAATATAACCCTGAGCTTCGAGAATGCCCTCACAACGCTAACACTGGACACTGGCAGGCTGAGGATATGAAGAGCTGCCTCAGCCAAATTCGGCCCATCAACCGATTGTGACCACCAAAAGAGACACGGTGCGACGTATTGAAGCACAACATAACATGCAGAGCTTGAATCAAGTCAGTCTTCTTTACAACGAGTTGAAAAACACGCTTGTATATGGGGAGTCAGGGGGCATTTCAGACTTCACGTTCGGATCGATGATGCGGCACATTCAAACCAAAACGTCGTGATGGCATCCGTGTATCCCATACATTCGGGCACATTTCGATAGACACTGTCGTTCCATTTTTTTTTTTTTTTTTTGCCACAGCTCTGCGGTACGACTGGAAGGTCAAAGTGAGCTTTTCCGGTTAAAACTGAATTTTAGAAAATGAATGCGACGTATTTTTATCGGTTTCAATCGAAAATGCCGAGCCTAAAAACTGACCTTTTTCGGTTAAAACCGAATTTCCGAAAATGGATTCGGCGTACTTTTATCGGTTTTTATCGGTTTAAACCGAAAACGCCGAACCCTAGTTATAATGCATAGCGAATTTAAAAAACAAATTACAAACTGCTAGCTGAATGCCGTCTTGTGTTTCTCGAGTTTGCCGGACATTACCTGAGTTAATGATCATCATGGTAAGTTGACTATTTAACTAAACTCTTTCAATTGACTTCTTGACTCGTAAAACCAATATTAAAAAGTTAATTTACATATTTAGGTTAATCTGCCAATTATGTTGATTATTCACAATCCCTCAGCTATGGTCCGCCGAGCTCGAGAAACACCTAGCCAAGAAGTGAAGCAGCTAACAATTTTCACGCATATATAAAACAACGACTCGCCAAGTTTTGGCGTGACACGTGATCCAGTCTAAGAAATCTTGAGCGTCACAGCGCACACCTAATCAAACAGTCTGCGCTGAGGAACTGAGCAAAGTGAAGCGCCAGGATCAGTAACATAGTGCAGGTATGTGACAGTAAGCAACGCAAAACGTCACACTTCCACTACTTGATGTAACAACTCAGACTGCGTTTTTTGGTGTAAACATATGTTTCCGCATCGTAATTCGCTGAGCTGCCTCCCTAAGTTGCGGTGATTGGCTCTCCGAGTGTTGTGCGGGAAAGTAGGCGCATGGGCTTTTTTTAGAGTGTGGGCACAACAATCAAGTGAACCAAAGGTACACGTTAAACTATCTGACGAAAAATGCCATGAACGTAAGCGTCTGGCGTCTGGAAACTCAGGGTATCGCTAAGCGCTTGTAATGCTAGAACCTTTCACGTATTTGTCACAACTGTCTAGCAATTTTTCATGCATTTTTAGATCTGAAAATATTTTCAGTCACGTCAATCTCCGAGCTTCCCCCCGTAGATTGGAGCAATTGGTTCTCCCAAGTGCTCTGCGGGAAAGTAAGCGCTCCAGAGTTCTCACAGTGTCCAGTGAGCCATTGCGACAGATGCTGCTTCGTCGGGGCGTACCAACGGGTAATCTCGCGAGGAGGTGGAGAAATCGCCATTGTTTCCGACCGTCAGCTACCTTTTCATTGTTCGAAACACAACAGTCAACTGGCATTATTCAGCGTCACGTGATATGCACTTCCGTTCGAGCGGTGGAGCTCGATGTGCCTACGCCTTCCCTTTTTCTTCTTCTAGGGCACGGCCCTGATGCCCAACACCCAGGGCGACGCCTCGGTACTCAGGCCGACCCTCATGATTGCCGTTCCCGTGAGTTAAAAAACGACAGTCACGCTTTTAAAGAAGGTGATGATGTTCGGTCGTTTGGGAAAATGCCCCGGGTTGCTATAGCAACCTGGAGTATACCAACGTTACTAGATCATAGTCAGTTGACAAGCTTCCTAGAACGTCTGCCTTTTCGTGGCGCATGCGATCGGTGGCGCTCGATACGACTCTGGCGCTCGCTACACCGTCAGCCCGCCCAATGGACAGAAACTGCTGAATCGGTAGAACGTTGTATGCAGATTACCTGCAGTGGAAAGCTATTATATTGTGTTTTTTTATCGTAAACAAAACGTTTGAGTCAAAGTCAGCGCAAAAGAGCATCGTTCTAAAATGGTACTTTTTGGTTGTCCATGGAGGCATTGACGCCGGTGTCGCTAGGAACGATATCCGACCGCACCTGCTGGCGGTCAGACAACATAGAAGAACCGATTTCGATCGCCTCTCTTTCGTGGAGCTTGTCAGCTGATAGGTCTAAGAACGTTGTGGAGTTCATCGTGCCTTCCAGAGTCGCATATATAGAGAGAGTTTGGTCAATGGAAGGAGCGGGCAGAGCCAGAGCGTGCCCGCGACGCAGATAGAAGGCGTGACGTGCTATGCTCTCCTGGCTAACCAGAAGCCGAAAATAATTACTTGGCGGTGGTAGTGCAAATATTTTTTAGTAAGTGCGTAAGAGTTAAATGGAGTAACTCTTCATGGTTGAAAATATAGTGCGCGTGATATTTCGATCATGATCATGATACCATTGGTTACACCAATGGTATCATGCAAAAAGATGTAAGAATCGAATGTACCGCTCGAACTCTCCTTTGCTCTGTCGGGGTCTGCCCGCTCGGACGGCGTTTTCCTGGCCCTCGGCGCCTGGCGTACGGATCATGTTGATAATTCTCCTTGAATTTGATTTTACATGACCGCGATCACAAAAATAACGTGTTACATATTTTCAGTCGCCGAGAGTTACTCTGACGCACTTAATAATTTTGTTTCGCGACCGCCGCCAGGGAATTATTCGCGGCTTCTGGCTGGCCATATTCGGATCTGGAAAGACACCCTGGAACATGCCCAGCTTACTCTTGGCCAATGGCGCCTCCTCATTTGCCTGCTATACTTCCCAATGAATGGTCAGACTTTCTCAAATACGGCTCTGGTAATTTACGGCAGCGCCAGAAGTCTGGTAGACTCTTAATTAATTTTAATACAGTCTGGTAAACTGCTTTCGTCATTCGAGTTATTTTGGTTCCACCAATGGTATCACTGTCACTGCAAAGTGGCCTTGCATAAAGAAGAAAAAAAAAAAGTGGGCCAGTCTGAATGTATTGATGGGGCTGAACCCTTTTATTCGGGAGGCGGCTTACACCACCTAGCCAAAGCTTTAATTTTAACAATTAACGTTCATTAAAAAAAAAAAAAACAGCATACTACGAAGTTTAGAATTGATGTAGCGTAATAAAATATCCCATATCGCTACTAAGCACGAGCATTCATTAAACATTCTCCACCGATTTGCTGGCATTAAAATGTTCTTTTAAACCCTCTTCCTCTGATCGACCGGGATAACCATAGGGCAAGAGATGGCGGTAATAATAAAGATAACTTTTTCACCGCATGTTAAAGCTAGTATCATACTTGCGAATGTGGTGCCTTTTCTCAACCTGGTGGGAGTACTTTTCGCCCTAGGGATTGAAAAAGGTATAACAAAACTTTATTCTTAGTTTAAGGATGCAAAGCGTCGATCGGTGGCCGATATGGGCGTTCATTGACAGCGTTGAAAAATGGCACTTGTTGGTTACGTCATAGGCATCCCGATACATCATGTATACTGACTACTAAAAAAAGGGGTTCGAAAAAAATTTGGCTCATTACTTTCTCTTACGAGGAAGTGGTTATCGTTGTCGTTTCTTTTCAAGTTACAGCAACTGGCGACGAACGCAAAGCAAGAAAATAAAGATGTGAGACGAACAGAAAAACACAATGCTAAAAATGCGACCTCACAAACGTCGCTGTTATTGCTTGTTTTTAGGCTTTGGGTGCGTAGTCATTAAATAAAGTTTTATGAGACAGAATTGTTCAGCAATAAGAGCAGCCACTATGGATATCTGTCCTCGTTGGCTCACTCAAAACTTCTGGATCTCGACGCAAGTTGAGCCCGAGTTGGATGAGAATAATGTTGGTGAGATACATGTTCCTGACATAAAGTAAATAAATCCCGTCACTCGTACACTGGGGCCAAAATAGGTAGTTTTAGCGGAGCGTTAACACATTCTACCGTGGCCAAGATATGGCTCCGGGTGCGCCCGGCAACGCTGCACGAACAAATGCCTGGTAAATAAATGCGTTACTCCTTTGTGATCAGAAAAAATTGCCCAGAAAGTATCAAACCACAAGTCATCTTTGTTTCGTCGACACTACGACGTTTTATTCATAGTTCGTTTCATCGAAAGGCGTCCGCGTTCGTTTCATGGACACATCTTACGACGTTTCGTCGAACGTGTCCTTCCAAGAAGTCGCCTCGGCCGCCGGAATCCAAATGGTGGCCTAGTTTGCCGGACCTTTGGTGATTTTTACGAGGATTGCCGCAAGCCAGAGCTGGAGATAATTATCCATTTCCCGGGGCGAAGCAAAGGGTGACCGCGCGTACCATGGTCTGTTTGGAAGCCTATAGGGAGTATTCACTGGTGGCCATAGCTGTATGCGCGAATGCTGAGCGCGTGCTGATGGCAAGCTTTCACAGTTCTTTTGCAACGTGCATTCCACACCATCAAGAGTACCGGTCTTAGCAGCCTAGTGATGTGAGCTCGTTCTGAGTATGCGCTCTAAACAGCACCCACAAATATGGCGTCCAGTGAATACTCCTTTTAGGATTGGGACGATACGGACCTTTTCCGTTGTCGCTCCTCCAGCGCGAGCTTTCTACGTTCGATCCCAGTTCGGAATCTTGTGAGGTTCGAGGGTGCACACGCAGTCAAAGCACTTGCTGGAGGCAGGGCCTCAACAAAAGACATTCTCACCTCGTCAGGACGTTCTCGCCCTGTCAGGGACTAGAGACTAATATAAACACACATTAAAAGTGAAAAATAGGGGCGTTGGTGTTAAACAACACCTCGCGTCCATTTGGGTTGCCAAAATTATATTCTCGAATAGATGCAGTTCGGAACTGACAGAGCCGTATATGTAGAGAGTTTGGTCAATGGGAGGCGCGGGCAGAGCCAGGGCGTGCAGCACACTCGGAAAGAGGGCTTGGCATGCTCTCTTAACCAACCAGAAGCCGAAAAGAATCCCCTAGCGGTGGTAGCGAGAAACAGTTCTGATCGAAAGTCTATGTTCGTATATGGTTTTAATAAGTGCGTAAGAGTGAAGTGTAGTAACTCTTTTTGGTTGAAAATAGGGTTCACGTGCTGTTTTGATCATGACCGTGCAGAAAGATGTAAGAAACGAATGCACCGCTCAACTTTGTTTTGCGCGGACAGAGTGTGACCGCTCGGACGGCAGATTCCCGGCCCTCGGCGTTTGGCGTACGGATTATGTCGATCGTTCCGCTAGTCGTACTCTTCCACCATCATTTTGGATGAGCGTCATTGAAATATCACGTGTACCATATTTTCAGCCATCGAGAGTTAGTCCAATGCAGTTATCAGGTTTGTTTCTCGCGACCACCGCCAGGGTATTATTTCCGGCTTCTGGTTGGTCAGATTCGAATTTCTAAAGACGCCCTGGAACACGCCCAGCCCGCTTTCGGCCAATGGCGCCTCCTCATTTGTCTCCTATACTTCCCAACGAATGGCCAAACTCTCTACATATACGGCTCTGGGAACTGAAAACACCTTGATGCCAGAGTCCTAGGAGAGCGACCAACAGAAACAAACAGCGACAAGCCTCAGACACTGCAGCGTGCTCGCGATGATACCTTTGACTGGCGTATAGTCGTTCGGTGCTCGTGAAGTAAGCACGAGTGATTGCAAGCTTGCTAAAGATACCCTCGCGTGCATGATGCTCGTGTTTGAGCATAGCCTCCTTTATTCTACGAAGCCTGTGAAATCGCGAAAGACTCTGGTTTGAGGCTTGTCGTTGTCGTTTGTTTCTGTCTGTCGCTTTAGTGGGACTTGGGCATTAGTGCTAAAACAAATGAAATATGCAAAATAATCAAGGCCATCAAGCGCGACGTAGTTATATACTCGTGGAAATGGAGCGTGCTGGTGAAGTTACGGTGTTAGAGAATTACACAAATGACGGGGATAGGATGACACACTTAAAGAGGCGATGCAGCGATTTTTATACTTTGCGCAAATACCACAGAGAACGAATCCCTGACTTTGATGACCTATGAAACACGCGTTCGTTTTTCACCACACCCAATAGAAGTCGCAGAAATAAATCAAAGGAAGACGAACCAGTGGCGTCACTGGGGTCAGTGGCATTTTGGCGACGCCCCCCCCCACCTCTCCCCCCCCCCCCCCACCCCCCCACCCGTTCTCGTGGCCCTCCGCGACACTCCCCCCCCCCGCTCGTCGCCCACTGCGACCCCCCCCCCCCCCCTCCCCCCTCCACTCGTCGCCCGCTGTGACACCCCCGGAGCGCTGCGTTCGGGGAGGTCCGCCCCCCCCCCCCCCCCCCTCCCCTCTCCTTGTGACGCCACTGAGACGAGCAGCGTTCGCCCCCTCAACCCGGAGCCACACCAAGCGGCCGCGTTATATGGAGCCGATTTTATGCCGCCAATGTTGATCAGCCACGCGTTGGAATTGGCAAAGCACAGGACATGCGGAACCATAACAATGCGGAGTCCCAGCCATTGTTATGGTTCGGCTATTGTCCTCATTGCAGCGATTGGACACGGGCCACCACCCCAATGCTTGTCAAGCTATTGATTACCACGATCCCAAATTGAGTGCTCACGTAATGCTGAGTCCAACCTACGAGCCGCATTCAAATATCACGGGGGGATGCTGCAATCTCCCAACTACGTCATCAAGCTTTGCGAAGGAGAGATTGAAAGAAAACGCTCGCTTTTGTTTATATTACACCGCAACAAAGGAGTTCCTTGGTCATTGGCGTTGCGTGCGAGTACACTTGGGTCCCACTAGTGCCAGTAAGCTCGTGTAAAGGGAAAAACATTCCAAGCGAATATTGGTGCAAGGCCCCTTTAAGTGCTGTCCTTTCCTCGTCATTCATGTAATTCTCCTCTAACATTGTAAACATATACTTTGCGCGAGATAATTTGTCGGAACATAACCTTGAACCTTGGTCTTATTTTGATCCTACAACTGAGCGCCATGCACCCAACATTGCCATCCACGCTGGTGCCATACAACGAGCGCAATCCACCATACTGATAATTTAGTGCGACTTCTCACTTGTGTGAAAAAGAACGAACGAAAAAAAATTGAGTGATAGCCATTTTCGGTTCACTTTATTGCGCAGCCTCTGCGGGAAAAACGAATAGTGTTGTTGTGGAACTTACATATTCCTTCTGTTTCTTTTTGTAACTCCAGCTCCTGTTAAACCGCATTCAGAAAGCCGTGGAGCAGAATCTCGCCTCAACGGGAGCCTTCAAACAAAACCTCTTCGCATTTGCACTCCCTTACAAAAGCTACTGGAGAAGCAAAGGGTACACTACACCGTTGCTCAATCGGTAAGCTATTTTAACCCAACCATAGATTCAACGGTGCTAAGACCAAATAAAAAAGAAAAAAGACATAAGGTTCTGTTGTCTTTTCTTATGAAAACCAAGAAGTTAAACGGTTAACACGTGTATATATTGATTAAGATTAACATTAAATTAAAAAGAAAGTTGTCGGGCAGCACGACCACCATATTGGGGGCGGTCTTCGGTTTGCCAAGGACACTGAGATCAGGGGTCACTATGCGGGTCAATCTTTGTTCGCTATTTCTTGTGCCCTGCTGACATAATGACCTGCTCCACGGATGCGAACAAACGGCAACTACTGTTCACAAACAGGGTAAAATACGCAGACGTCATCTGACGAGAAAAGAACAAGTCCTTGAGCGTACGGTCCCGCTGAAGTTTGATAGGGGTCTCAACGTGTTGCTTTCGTAAAGTTGGCGAGCATTCTTGTCTGATTGTTTGCTCCGTGAGACTAGGCGACGTCAGTTGGCTCGAGAGTCGGGGTAACTGAGTATTATTTGCAACGTTGTCAAGGCTAGCATCGCTTCCGCAGTGCTGCAGCTCAGCACTGCTGCGAGAGAACGTGGCTTCGTTTTGTCTTATTCGAACGAGCCCTTATGCGAAGGAGACGCCAGACAAAGCGACGCGCTCGCGCAAGTGGCTTTGACAGCGTTAGAGCACTGTGGAAGCTGCGTCAGCCTCGACTACGCAGCACAAAATTCTTCACGCCAAGAAAGTCAAACGGCCGCCGTAAGTCCGTCCTCGCTTTGATTATTCGAGTCCGCTCCTGCGCGCAGGAAAAGGGTGAACAGGTTTGAAATGTAAGTAAAAAAAAAAAAAAAGCCGGATAGCACTTGTGTATTTTAGGAGCGGCATGTAAAGATATTTTTGGGAAAGACCCTGCTAAGCGGCAATTAAAGAAAACAACAGGTCAGGCTTACTTATGCTGAGCGGAATCGGTTGAATTGCAAGGTACTTCCTGCCCTCTGAGCCGGCCATCTGGCCAAAAAGCCCCTCTTGCGGAGATTTTAACCGCCGAGAGAGATACCCGCACACTGGAAGAAAAAAGAACGTATTCTTAGACCCTTGTACCACGTAAGACTCCGCAAAACTTCAGTTCGACGTACAGCGCGCTGACGTCGATTTTGTCAGTGACACTGAAAACTCGAGCGCTTTTACTTGCCTGTTTCTCCAGGATCGTGTTCAAGAAGACGAGGAACATTCTGGGCGGGCGCCTAAGGGTCATCGTTAGTGGCTCCGCGCCCCTGTCCCGCTACACGCAGGAGTTTCTCACCAACTGCCTGTGCTGTCCGATCGTTCAGGGTTACGGACTCACCGAGACGACGGCGGGAGCCACGCTCCAAGACCGTAAGCATCCTTTGTGACCACCTCGGTCCAAAGAGCGGCCATTGTGGTGGGACTTTGCTAGTACACTGTGCGATATTGACAGCGCAAATACGACATTCGAATACATTTTATGAAAAGCGAGGAGGGGGGGGGGGGGTGCAGTTTAAGTTTTTAAAATACAGAACAAGAGGAGAATATTTGTATCTTTGAAAGCGGTCGAATAGAAATGCAATTAAAAAAAAAGTGAGGGTGACGCAAAGAGGTGTACGAGGCGGGCTTGCAATAGGTGAGCATGAACAATGGCACGTAGTAATAAAACTTGCGAAAAATAGAAAGACGAGAAGATTTCCGGCGAAAACCAAGGCGAGCTAGGTTACAAATACCCTCAAGCTCCTAAATGCTGGTTTTTGTTAAATTCTTACGATGAATGAAGCGGGCAGCTTTTACTTACTTATTCATTGATAATGTATTGCTGATGAGGGGACGGACTGAAATAGTCTAGTTTAGACCAAACGAGGGTGCTACGTACAAATATTGTGCTACGTAAATGCCTTCTCTGTCGATTACTGTATCGACGAATTTCCCATCCTAGCGACTTGGAGATTTTTTCTTTGATATTTTTTATCTACCAATACCATTTCGAAGACCAAAGATAAAATATATTTCCTTCTGTTTATTCAAGCATCATTCCATTCATCTGAATTACCTCAGGATTGAAAATTTGCAAAAGGGATCATCGTGTATAAATCTAAAATACAAAATATGCCAGTTACGAAGAAGAGGTGGTTGATGATGATGATGATCGGCCACTTGTAACAAGAGGGCTGATGGCGAACACGTTGCGAAGTGAAGTTCAGTCAGGTGGTATTAGACTTTAACTTGGATATATTTATTTAACATAGTACGTTGGTGGGCGCGACAGGACGTCGCCGCCCGGCACATTCCGTCCTCCAAAATCCCGACAAGGAACGCGACCACAACCCAGCTCGATCCGCCTCAAAAAAGCCCCGTCTCATCCCTGGCCCCTCCGTTTTAGAGAGTCAGGTTCCCTCTCCCAATCGTCCGAACCAAAGGCTGTTTCCCACGCGATTTCTTTCTGGTCGACGGTTGGTCCCAAAAGCACACAAGCAGATCAACAACATGCTGTTGTCGTCTCAAACGGATAACCAAAATAAACACACAAAGACCCCCACGTTTTCTTCGGCGGTCATTACAAGGAGGCGCCGTGAAGATGGGCGCACCCACGAAACCGGCCCGCTCATACAATGACAGCAAAGCCGACATGTTCGGCACCGTTTACTACACGAGAAGCCCCATCCGGCAGCCACCCGTGGGAATGCGTCCCATTGTCCCGGCTCCCCAATTAGGCAGGCGCCCGCTCGACGCACCCTTGAAAGCGACACTCCCGCGACAGTCCCCCATTCCTGGCCAAGCCGCCGTCTCCCCCGCCGCCCGGGGTGATCCTTCTGACGCCGCAGCTGCGCTTTGACCCAAGCCGAAAAAAAAAGAATGAATAATATGCCTGTACCTAACTATGCCGATGCTTGAAAAAGGCGACACAATTGGGATGATACATTTTTCCTTTGGTCTTCAAACACAACGGCCTGCATATGCAGGCCGTTGTGTTCAACACTACAGCGAGATGTTGAGACATGGTCAACGCCTCGGTGGAGAACAGGCCACGGCCTCCGGATATTGGAGTACTCGTTGCCTAATGTTATAAATAAAACACATAGACTGGGCACGGATTTGATGAGTTTGAGCAAAACGGATATTCGTTCATTGTTTCTCTCTTGTTATTTGTGCCTATTCTTGATGGGACCTCCAACCTGCAAAAAAGATTCGTGATGTACGTCATTTTTTTTTTTTTTAATGTTGTGGGTTTTGATTTTATGTAAACCTTGTTCTACGGGTCACTAGTATGTAAAATAGTTTCTCTCGTTGCTGGTGGGGAGGAGAAACTCTGTCAAGCGACAACAGACTGTTTTTTTTCTTCCTCCCCCTTCTCCCCTGGAGAGAAACAATAAAGTTGAAGTTGAAGTATTGGTCAATACAAAAATGTCAAAGAAAAACTTTCTAAGTGGCTAGGATGAAAAATTCGCCGATACAAAATACAATCGTCGACGAAACACCTCACGGATGACAAGATTATTGAAGGTAGGTCATTTGTGTAGTTTGTAATCAAAAGTGGTACCAGGACGATGCCCTGGGGAACTCTGGATTTCTCCGTAATGGGGGACGATCTACGAAAATAGACTGCTAAGTCTAACTGATAACATGAAGTACTTAGTTGAGAAAGATTCAGGAGTAAACATTGATAAAGGACAATATAAAATGCTTTTGTCAAATCAATAAAAAGTTCATCCATAGTACAAGAGCACTAATGGTATAACGCACGACTGTCACAAATGTGTCGTGTTTTACTTCTGAAGCCCATCCTAAGCTCAGCGAAAAAAAAGGAACTGTGCGATCCATCCATCCTTCTATCTCTTTCGTTGTCTTGTTTTCAACGGTGAAGAACCGCTCGTTAAAAAAACAACATAACCCCCCCCCCCCCCCTCTTCCCCTCGTAGGAAAATTACTAAGGGGGAAAACCTGTCCCGAGGTTTCTTGTTTCTGGTGGACCTTGGCAGGGGTGAAAATGGGTGATGGCTTGCTGTTACCGTTTTTCTACTATCTGCGTTGCCCTTCTGTGACTGTTGTCATGCTCGATAGGCTCGAGACAATCTCGACTAGTTCCAGAACCTTCCTTCTGATGTGTCGAATGCACGTGGTCCGACTGCTTTTTGTACATGCACAGGGAGGCCAAAAATGACGTTCTCTTTGCATGGTTTGTAGAAAGTTTCGACTCAGACGTAGTCACCGACTATTACTAATAACAACTTCACCCTCCGCCCGATCGTCTGTGTATTTCTTGCTGCCTTTATGGTAATCAGCATTGCACTGCCGAAGGTTTTGCATCTCGTTATGAACGGGCTTGTCTAGACGCGGGAAACCCGCGATGTCTAGACGTGTTCTAATTCTGCGTTCGTAAATTAGTTCCGCGGGGCAGAGCTTTCTCGCTAAATGTGGTGTACTTCTGTATGCACCTAGGAACCCGGTAAATGCAAGTAGGAATGTTTTCTTGCTCTTGGACGATGATTTGAACGTACCTCTTAAGAACACGATTGAAGGTGAACATAATTGAAGTTATTCAGGTGGAACATGACTCGCGAGTACATGACGTGCTCGAATATTATACATGGGGGATGCTTGCAAGACAGTAGGGCCCGTAATAGACCCTCGCCTGTCCGCCATTCCTTGGGCACGTACCCTGAGCGTGTATTGAACACGAAAGCTACGTCAGCATTCGGCGAGGACTCGGACCCAATCACGCGCTTCGTGCCCAAGAAATGGCAACCGACGATGTTGCCTGATGGGTTTTTGGAAATTACCCACTAGATGGATCACTGCGGTTTCCTGATTTATACACGAGAATGACTCTTGCAAATTTCCAACCGGGAGGTAATTCAGGTAAATCAAGGGACGCTTGAAAAAGGCGGCACAAGTGAATATATATATATATTAGCTTTGGTTCTCAAAGGAGTATCGTTAAATATATATATATGTGTATATATATATATGTATATGTTTAGGTTAGTATGTCAAATAAACGCTTTCTGTCATTCTAGTAACTCTGATGGCAGCCCCTTGACTTTAAGAAAAAATCAGACAAAACATGCGATCGCTTGTTCACGCTAACAGTATCGCACAGTGTACCTTCTGCAGCATACATTTAGGAACAATAGAATTTGTTTTTCTCGGCAAGAAAAAAATGTTAAAATTACCACCAGCATGTTGAGATGACGTCAGGTGCAAGCCATGTATAGTGTTTCGAATTAAATAGCTCCGCGTCATTCGTAGCCCACACAGGGCAAGGGTAAACCGCACCATGCCCCCCATTTTTTACAGTATTGAAGCTAGGGACGGCCACAGCGCTAGTCGACTCGAAGAAGTATTCGCATTTTTTTTAAATAAAATACTTTCAGAAGGGGAAATAATGACGCACTACAAACTGTACGCGTCGTCGTGTTTACATTTACTTGTTGTAATTTATTTTCGAATGTAGCGACTATTTTGAGTGCACCGACTATTAGTCGGTACAGTCGAATGTATTGACTAACGCGGCATGACAAGTTTAAATACCGAAGACAATGAACATGCTATGTATGGACGCTGAAGGTGTGGAGGAGAAATGATATCAGGACTGTAATCTTGAATCGGTTGGAACAAGAAAGCAAAGGACTGGTAAGAGCCCGCGTAAACGCGAAGTACACCATTTATCGCTATCTATGCATATATGGTTAGCTTCGAATGGGGAATAGCTTGACTGCAGGCTTATTTCTGAAGTTTGGCGTCCTAACAAAGGAAGGTATTGCCCTCGGGGTTTTACCATACTGTGAGAAAGCGTAAAACTGTGCTACTTTTCACAATAATATTAAGTTCTACGAAGACGCTGATCACACGTGAGCTATAGCCAATGCTGGAGAAATGACTTCCACACCAATTAAATATCTTTCATAGCCTCATCAGCGTTTTATATCAAAATCTTGGATGCCTCGCATTCGCTTGACGTGACAGCATAATTAATTGCTGCTTCGCGGCTCGTTAAAACGTCGAAGAAGCAAAAGCCTGTGTTTACGTCATTTACTCTGTCGATTGAGAGCATATTTGCGAGTATTTGGATCCTGAGTGCTCCGGATATTCTCTTTGGTCTTGATAATCATATGTAATAAAATCGATCTAACAGAACGGAGAACAAGATTCAACATAAAGACCGGCACAAAATTCATATAAAAAACTGCTCAGCAAGCGGGTGATTTCCTTCACGATTTCTTTTATTGGCGATAGTGTCAAAACTGAGAATACAACGCCTGGCAAGTTGAATCGGGCACTGCAAACTAAGGAAAGAATGCAACCCTAGCAACGATGCGTTGCTTTTTCGTCGGCGTTTTTATTTTAAGGTTCGATTACAGATGGTTACTTATCTATATCCTTGTTTCTCCCATCCGGTTGTTTCTTATCAACTAGGTACTTTCCGTCTCATATCTTGCATTTCTATGCTCCCTCATTCTTCCGTTTTTGCATAGATGACCCTTCTCGTATGTTTTCACGAACCTCAATACCCCATGTCTACTCATGCCAGTGGATTTTGTCTTCTTTCAGATTTATAGGTCCAATGCTGAATGAAGAAATTGTGATAGGTATCTACTGGGAGGGAAGGGCTCGTCCGTGCATGGGTTGACAAAAGAAGGTTCATTGCTCGAACCTTTAGAAAACGAAATGTTTCTAGTCGTAGAGTTACCAGACATCTTGCTCTGCTCACTGGAATATAATCTAGTTTTTTTTTTTTTTTTTTTTTTTTTTTTTATCTACCTTGCATCTTTCTTGACATCCAACCTTTTTCTTTCTATGCGCTTTCTGTCCTCCGCTTTTTGTCTACATTGTTGCTGGTAATACATTATTCTATTGGCGATATTTAGTAACATCCTCCTAACATTTTTCGAGCGTGGCTTTAGACTTCGTCTGTGTGGTTCTGTGGTTGTCCCTTGTCCGTATCCACAGTCTCGGGTTTACAACTATGTTCTTTTCAACCTTCAGCAGTGGGTCTCTCAATCTTTCCATGGCCCATAAGCCTTTTTTTTTTTACTTTTTGCAGTCTTTCTTTAGTGTGTACGCATATTGCTTCAACTTCTCTTTACCAGTTTTTTAGTGGAATAATTTGTTGCCGTACTCCTCTTTTCAATCCGCCTACTTCCTCACCATACACTTTCCTCAGGCAAGTAGCATAATGCCGCAAAGATTGATGCACATCACTGTCCACTTTTTTTTTTATGTTTCCAGGCTCAGTGTTGCCGTTTTTTCCTCTGAGCGTCGGTCTTTACCGCACAAAAGCTTTCTCTGTAGTGCACACGAAAGGTTACTGTTGTATAGGAGGTATTCACTGGACGCCATATTGGTGGGCGCTGTTCAGAGCGCATGCTCAGAACGAGCTCACATTAATAGGCTACTGAGACCGCTGATCTCGATGGTATGGGATGCACGTTTCGAAAGGTCTGTGGAAGCTGGCCGTCAGCGCGCACTCGGCAGTCGGGCACTCAGCTATGGTCGCGAGTAAATACTCCTTACGGGAAGTATTCATTGGCGGCCATAGCTGTTTGCGCGACTGCTGAGCTCGTGCTAATGGCGGTTCTCCGCTCTTCCCGGCCTGCTGCCCTGTCAAGACACGAAAATTACTACTGTATCAGTCGAATTCTGCTCGCAAAAGTAGCGCTGAAACTGTCGGTACGGTACTCAAGTGCACGAGACGCTTTGCTTCGAGCCGTTCTCGCCGCCACGGCGAGTTGGAGCTTCCTCCAGAGGAGGCCGCAACTCGCCGACATCGCTCGAGTTATTAGCGAGTGCCCACGTTTTAACTTCAACTAGGCAGGAGATAGACGTTGGTTTGCGTCGTATAGCCTGGCTTGGTTCTGCACGCTTTGGTCTTGATCCCGAACGGACAGCGAGCAAGTATGAGTGACGTTATAGTGAATGGAACTTCGTTTCTCATGCAAATATCAGGGCAGAAATTCATTGGAAGCGGGGAAACTTGCTGACATTAGGTATGTTGTCGTTTTTTAAATGAAGAGAAAGTAGGTTAGATATTTTACAAATCATTAAGAAAGTTCGCGTTTTTTTTTTTCATTAGCGTGTTTTTTTACGGTTACAAAATAGACACATAGGAAATAAATAAGGAAACTAAATTTATCGTGGCTTCCAGTGCATAACATTTCACGTGCACATGTCACATTAGCGCATTTTCTTGAGAGCGTCGCCCCAATCTAACAGTACATATTTTTTTCACCAGAAAAGGCTGCAGGCAAACACTGCTTTAACTTGAGTTTGTCTTGCCTACTCTTGTTTGTCTTGCCTAACCTTGCTTTCTAACCTGATCTGCTTGAGCTTGTCTGCGTGACCGTGCTTCAAGCCTGGCCTTCTTTCATTTCTTTGCTACAAACGAAAGGTGGTGGATGATAAATTTGTCGGTAACGTCGGAAGTTTCACGAGCATCCTGCGATCAAAAGGAAACGAGCAGTGAAGTCTGGCAACTCTACCGTCGTACAAATCTCAGGTGCTTTATGTGCACGTTTTCGTTGCACATTTTCTCACAGCAGACGATGACATTAAGGTTGGGGTCGCTGGGCCGCCTCTGAACGGAGTCCACATCAAACTAGTCAACTGGGATGAAGGTGAGTAAGAGGCCTTAATACCACCGACTTTTATACTTAGTGTCCTAGAATGCTCGGAACGAACAACCGCTTCGAGCAGTGAGGAACATATTGTTTTTTGTTTGTTTTAAATTTTACGCTAAATTTAGCGGATCAATGTGGTATAACGTGGCACAAGGAAGTGGCACTGAGACGTCATGTCATGTGATACCTTGACGTTGTGTGACGTCAATTTCCCCGCTAAATTTATCGGGGAAATGCATTGTGGGACGAACGAATGGACGGACGGACGAACAGACGGAATGACAAATGTATGGGATTAAGGAGTTGCGTTGAGGAGAACGCACCATACTTTAAAACATCACGTCCACTCTCCAGCAGCAGTCAATTGATGATTGCAATCGATGGAGCGGGTCTAGCGAATGTTGAGGGCCAATAAATGTTTTAACCGAAGAATGCGATTGGCACTGGGACGTTGTTTACGTCAACGGTCACGATCGATGCCTTGTGTGTCAACGCGTTTTGGGTCTTACCGGTGACCGAAGTTCGCCCTTTGTTAGACTGGCAGAACTCTCCGATTTGTACTTTGTATACTTGTGGTTAATGGTTAATACTGTACTTATTTGAGACTGCATTCGGTGCTCCAAAGTTCACAGAAATTGCCAAAAAGTCGGTCCTATTCGTCCAAAAGGAGCTCCAGACGTTGTCGGTATCTTGAACAACTGGAAATTCCCAGTTAATTGAGGTATTGTGTTAAAAGCGTGGCAGTGAAAACAACTGAGGAGCAACAATGTGCCCCACAGTGAGAAGGTGGAAATGTCTTAATGAAAGTTTTTTTTTTCTCCTTTTCAATCAAGCGGATGCTTTTTTTTTCTTCTTATATGCTGTTTCCAAAGCTCTCCCCTGCTGGACACGTGATAGCGGGTGTGGAAATATTTACGTTTATGAGCTTCAATAAAACCCCGAGAGGCGGCGCACCCAGTTGGGCGCGCCGACTTGTGTCAACCCGCTCGTGTTGTTCCTGCCGGCTACCGTATCTTGGTTCAAACCGAATTACGACATGGTGTTGGAAGTGGGGTGCGGGCAGCCACAAATGTCGAAGACCTGGGACGGCCGCGGGAAAAGAGACAAAAAGAAGTACGGCCGAAGAGAGCCGAGGCTACGCTGAAATCGTCAGGGGCGTCGAAGAATACAAGATGGCGACAAAAGAGCAACGGGAACAACGGCCAGACAAGCCTAAGTTCAGTTTCGCGCCACCAACGCAATTCAACTTCAAGCGCCCAGAAGAGTGGACAGCATGGTCCCGCCTCTTCACGAGGTACAGGAGAGTATCGCGGCTCATCGAGGAAGACGGGCCAGCTCAAGTGGACGCCTTGATCTACTGCCTCGGCGGGGACGCAGAGGATATACTGGCATAGCAACGACGCTGTCGGAGGAAGAGAAGGTGGACTTTGAGAAGGTGATCAAGGTGTTAGAAGGCCACTGTGTAGGGAAAAGAGACGTCATCCATGAGCGAGCAAGATTTCACCAGCGGAAGCAAGAGCCAGGCGAAACAGTTGAGGCGATTGTGACTGCCCTGCACAAACTGGTGGCTCAGTGCAGTTACGGAGCACTTAAGGACGAATTGGTGCGGGACCGCCTGGTGGTTGGCCTGCAAGACGCGAAGCTGTCCGAGACCTTGCAAAGGGATCCAGATCTCACCTTAGAGATGGCAGTACGGAAGGCGAGAGAGAAAGAAGCCGTTCTAAGACAACAGGCTGTCGTGCGTCAGGAAAAACAAACAGAAGGAGCCGTCATCTGTCGACGCTCTGCGGAAAGCTGCCAGCAAAGGCCGTTTCAGTGCCGGGGACGCAGCAAACAATACCGCGGGACGGAAAAAGTCGCCGCACGGGTTGGCCCTCAGTTGCGGGAGATGCGGCGGCCAATGGTTTCACGAAAGAAGCAGCTGCCCAGCATCCACATCCAAGTGCCACTCCTGTGGCCAGAGAGGCCACTGGCAAAAGATGTGCAACAAGAAATCTTGGCGGGAGGTCATCAAAGAAGAGAAAGAGGCCTCACCAGAGAGATGGGACACTGAGTGCACTAAAGGTGGGAAAAAACACAGCAGCACAGATAAAGACACTAAACGTTAATTGGAACCCGGTTTGTTTCAAGATAGACACCGGAGCAGATGTCAATGCTGTGCCACTAGGTGAGGTACCAGATGCAACTGCAGTAAGGCGCAAAACGGTAAGACTGTGCGTGTTTAGGGGTTAAAAGCGCTAAAAACGACGGACGAGTAGGAGAGACACACACCATAAAGCGCTCTGTGGTGTGTGTCTCTCCTACTCGTCCGTCGTTTTTAGCGCTTTTAACCCCTAAACATGTTCAACCAACTAGCCCAAATCCAAACCCTTCTGAGACTGTACGGGCCGGGGGGCAGCCTCTCAAGGTGCTGGGAATGCTCAAAGCCACGCTAAGTTGTGGGAAAAACAGCATTAGGGAGGAGATGCATGTCGTCGACGGACTAGAAGAACCCCTGCTGGGACGTCGTGCAAGCACAGAATTAAAGCGAGTACAGCTCCTGCAGGAAGTGACAGAGGCCCTAAGTACCAAATACAAGGAGAGGTTTCCAGAACTGTTTAATGGACTGGGTGTAATGCAAGGTGACTACAACATCAAGATCAAGGCTGACGCAAGCCCAGTGTCAGTGAACACGTCCCGTAGAGTCCCCTTGGCCCGAGTCCGAAAAGTGGCAGATCTGGCACCCTGGTGCTCAGCCGTGGTGGTGATTCCTAGACCAAACGAGGAGGCCAAGATTTGTGTGGACTTGACAAACTTCAACAAGAGTATAGAAATTGAGAAACTTGTTCTTCCATCAGTAGAAGAAACTCTGGGCGCCTCTCTGGCACAAAGATATTTTCCAAGCTAGATGCAAAAGTTTGATTTTGGCAAGTAAAACTGGCACAAGAGTCCCAGCTTCTCACATTTATAACCCCCTCGGGCAGGTTTTGTTTCCAAAGGCTTTCCTTTGGTATCTCTTCAGCGCCGGAGCATTTCCAGAGACGCATGAACCAAGTGCTCGAGGGGATACCTGGAGCGTCGTGTCACATGGACGACATTTTGTTCACGCGAGCAGATGTCTCGGAGCATGACAAGAGGCTGGAAGAGCTCCTGAAGAGACTGAATGCGACAGGAATCACTCTTAATGACAAGTGTGCGTTTTCAAAGCAGGGTTGGGCAGTATCGCGATACAAATGTATCGCGATAGTATTTCAGAAATACATTTCGTATCTGTACTTCTGTATCGCGATACATTTTTTTCACCAGTATTTGTATTCCTGTATCGAAATACATTTGGAATGTTTCTTTGTATCGCGATACAATCAGGATGAAATGTATTTCGTTACATTTCTTGAAAAACACTCCCCCCCCCCCCCCCCCGAAAAAAAAAAAAAAACAAGTCCGAACGCATCTTTTTTTTTTTTTTTTTACTTCTGAGGGCACCAGAGTCAAGGAGATGCTGGGGCATTGTTACTATGCTGGCCAAGGTTCCTTTTGATTCTGCAAACTATTTTTCAATTCGTCCTCTTCTCTCTTCTGAGAAGTGTCGCGTAGTTGGGGACTCGAACCAGGTGCCGTGCCAGGAGTGGAATCAGAGCATCTTCTGCTGCAGGGATTTCTTGAGTCATTGTTTGCTGGCATCCAATGCCCGCTGCTAACCGTCTCTCTCGCCTTAGCGTACAGAATACACCCAGCCGGCAAAGCTGAGTCACATTCCGTTGCAGCACGAGCCTGGCGGTGGTTGACTTGAAATAGTAGGAAAACTCACGCTGTGAAGTTCAACACATACTCGAATGCATCTGCGGCTGCGCCCGTAACATTGCACGGCTCAAGGGTACGTCATCAGCCGACGTGCACGTGTCCCGCTGCTATATGGTGATCCGAAACCCAGAAAGAGGCCAGAAGTGGCCTCGCTGTGCCATCCCAGACTACGTGCTCCCGCGACTCGTCTCGAGACCGCTGTTTTTCGGACAGCTCGCACCTGTGCCGGCAATATCAGCTCGCAATCCACGAGGTCTCTGTTTGGATAATGCTAGGCAAAACTTGAGGACTGCAATCCGTGCGTCGGTGGCGGAGGGTTGGTAGTAAGCACCTTCAAAACAGGGATGCTACCGTATCGTTTTTTCAACCGCAACAGAAGATAAGACATGTATTCCAAGATGCTTCAGGTGGTCCACTATTCTCAAAAATTCTAAATGACACTGCATGCAAAATCTTCAACTAGGTAACCTACGACGAAAGTACGTATTTTCCTTTCATACAGCAGCGTGGTAAAGTTTCGCGTTTAAGGCCACTTCTAAAGATAAAGAATACTAGTTCATTCCACCGTGACATCATGTGATCAATGCTGACAGGATTCCCTCGTCAGACAGACAGGATGTCATGGAAGGAACCGTGGTCAGCCCTTGATGGAACGTTTTTTTGGGCCCATTGAAGACTCCTTGTCGTCCGAAACCACTACCTTCAAGGCAAAGTGCCAAGCCTACAGGAAAGTAATTTCGTGATCGAAAGCATCCACTTCAAACTTCAAGCTTCATCTCATTTGGCGTCTCAAAAACATTTGGAAAATGTATTGCACTATCAGTATTTCTGTATTTGTATTTCTGCCCTCCCTAAAATGTATTCCTATATTTGTATTCCCAAATACTTTTTGCCTCTTTTTAAAGTGTATTGCCGATACGTATCGCGATATATTTTTACAGATATATCTTAGTATCAGTATTTTAGCTACTATTTTAGTGTATCCCAGTATTTGTATTTCCAAATGCATTTTTGAGTATTTCTGCCCAACCCTGTTTCAAAGACGTCGGTGAAGTTCTTGGGACACGTCCCGAGTGAGAAGGGGATTCAGCCAGACCCGGAAAGAGGGAGAGCAATCGTGGACTTCCGTGCACCGGTCTGTGTTACGGAGGTCCGCCAGTTTATTGGCATCACCAATCAAGTTGGACAATTTTTGCCAAACCTGTCGGAAAAGTTGAAACCCATCAGAGATCTCCTCAGGAAAGACACCGAATGGAACTGGGACATCTAGCAGCAAGGAGCAATTGACCAAGTGAAGGAGGCCATCAACGAAGCTACAGCTCTAAAGCTCTACGATCCCGGACAGCAGCTGATAGTGTCAGCAGATACCTCGTCCTACGGACCAGGTGCAGTACTGTTGCAAAAAGATGGACAAGGGCTAATGCGTCCGGTTGCTTTTGCATCCAAAGATCTGTGTGAGACAGAAGGGAGGTATGCGAAATAGAAAAAGAGGCTTATTGCAGTCACGTGGACATGGGAACAGTTCGAGAAGTTCCTGATAGGAACAAAGTTCCATGTGCAAACGGTCCATCGACCCCTTGTCGTACTATGGGAGACCGTGAGTTGAATGCCATTCCTGCGCGTATCCAAAGGTTCACGCTGAGGCTTATACGCTTCGACTGCTCCTTAGAGCATGTGCCCGAGAAAGAGTTATGGACGACCGATGCTGTCTCCAGGTCTCCTGTGGAGCCTCCAGAGAAAACGGAAGAGGAGCCAGAGGCATATGTTCAGCAGGTGAAAAGCTCCCTGCCAGCTATGGGCCGCTACCTAGAGGAGGTGCGGGCAGCACAGAACGAAGATCCGGTGCGCTGCAAACAGAGTTCTGCACAACGGGATGGCCGAACAAGACCGACATCCCTCCCGAGATTGCGCCTTACTTCAGGAAGGACAGCCTCACCATACAAAGCAACCTCCTGGTGAGGGTAACAGACTGGTAATCCCGAAGTCATTGTGGAAGAATGTGCTGTGCAAGTTGCATGCAGGACACCAAGGAGTGCCCAAGTGCCGAGAACGAGCAAGAAGGTTAGTGTGGTGGCCAGGATTGAACACCGAGTTGCAAGACGTGGTTTCAAACTGCACAAGTGCATCCAAGAGCGCACGCTAAGAGTCGAACCTACGATAGCCTCAGAGCTTCCGGAATATACATGGCAACGAGTAACAGCAGATCTATTTGAACTGAAGGGCAGGAACTATATTGTAGTGGTTTACTACTACTCCCGGTTTATTGAAGTATGCCTGCTACGCCAAACATCAGAGGTGGTTGTGGCCCACCTCAAGTTTGCGTCATCCCGCCATGGGATACCCGAGGTGTTCAGGTCGGACAATGGACCGCAGTTTACGTCCCTAACTTTTGAAGAATTTACAAAGTACCAGATTTGCCACATAAACACAGCCCAGATTTTCCCCAAACCAATGGAGAGGCAGACGAATATTAGAAGTTGCTAAGGACATCTTAAAGAAGGCCAAAGAGCCTGACCTTGCACTTTTAATTAACAGAACCACTCCAGGCCCCTGTGGATTCAGTCAGCAGAACTGCTTATGGGATGGCGGCTACTTACAACACTGCCTACCTTATCATCCCAGCAGTTGCCGAAAATGCCCAACCACATGGTTTTTCGGAAAAAGGATAAAGAAGAGAAACGAAAGCAAGCTCAAGGGTACAACCAACGGTACGGGGTAAGCTATCGCAAGGAGCTACCCATAGGAAGTTCGGTGTAGGTCAGAGACTCTGGCAGGACGGGACAAGTAGCGAGCAAAACAACTAACCCAAGATCGTTTGTGGTAGAGACACCATCCAGATAACTCGTCAGGAACACATACCACTTGGTCCGAACAGAAACCTCAAGACTGTGTGCAGACCCCATCCTTCCAGGACGAAGAACCAATCAACCAACGAACCAGCATGGGGTCCAGACGAAGACCCATCGACAGCTCTTATGATAAAGGAAACTAACGCTGACTCCAGCACAGAGGAAGAGGAGCCTTGCATACGCACGTGAGCAGGAGGACGAATCGTCCGTCCCTCAAGGTTCGGGGACTAGTTTCACCTCCTTTGTGGGAAAGATAGATGTGGTAATATTTACGTTTATGAGCTGCAATTAAACCCTGAGAGGGGGCGCACCTAGTTGGGCGCGCCGACTTGGGTCAATCCGCTCGTGTTGTTCCTGCCGGATACCGTATCTCGGTCCAAACCGAGCTACGACAGCGGAAACATAATTTTTTTTTCTCCGGCGTCTCGGGGAAAACGCGTTGGGTGACTAAGATTATGCACCCTAAAGTAACACCACCTAGATGACAAGGCCGTAGGGCTAAATTTTCTACCTTACTTACTGAGGGCCAGCGCGGGACATATATTGGACGCGAATGTTATGTCAATGTTCGGCTGGAACTCGGGTTCTCACCAATCGCACTCGAAGGCCACACGAAATATTTTTTTAATGCATTAGCGTTAGAACGTTTGTTTTGACGAAAACCCGGTGGTGTCTCCCGTTTGTCAGTTGTCGCGTGCGACGCCCCCATTGATCCGATGCGCTGACGAGAGCACGCGTCAACCTCTCTCTCTCTCCCCGGCGCTGACAGACTGACATACACTGCCGGGTTTTCACGCGCATTTGACGGCAGTCACGCGCAACACCACCTAGATAACATAGCCAAAGTGCTGAATGATATGGCGTCATCAGAGAAGCTAGGCCAACGCTGGATACAGAGTGGAAACGAGTGCTGCGTCAGCTCTGGGCCTCGAGTCAAGTATGAGCCGAACGTTGACGCAATCGTCGTGTCCATGCTGTGCCCAGCGTTGGCCTTCTCTGATGACGCCATTTCATTCAGCACTTCGGCTTTCTTATTTAGCAGGTGTTGCGCCGCGGCGCCGCGGAATGCGGGCGTGCTCAGTTGCCGCTCTGCTGTTGCCGGTTGTTTTTCGCTCTGGGTTTCCGTAGTAGCGGTGCGTGTGCTGTGATGTGTGTGTGTGTAGTCAGAACTATGAATACGGTTCTCTCCATGACTGATATGGATGCGGTTCTTTCTACGAGTGGTATGGATGTTGTCCTTTGCACGAGTGATATGGATGACTGTGTCCAAGGGTGGCGACGTACTCTGACAGGCGAAGTACAAAAAAGGGGGTGAAAACAATTACAGGGGGATCCATTGGTGGATTCCTGGGCAATTTGTTAGCATGACTCGAGGAAAACGCCACACACGCACCCCCTTGGGAAACGCAAACACTGACCTCGTAACGAGGCCAAAAAGAGGCAGCAAAAACTAGAGAAAGCAAAAGAGAAAGCCAAAAGAAAAAAAGTGAAGAGGTTAGCGTTTCTCGAAGGGGGACGTCTGTAGCAGTATCCAAAGGTCATGCTGACGCATTCCCAAAGAACCCAGCGAAGGGTCTTCCTGTATTTTTTTCCCCAAAAGTTTCAGCGGAATTATATGCTGAAACTAAGGGATTATGACTTTGGGCATGCTCTATCAGAACTTTTGGCACCAATTTGGGCCTCATTATTTCTCGTCAGGTGGCTACCGGTCAACAGACAAGCCCTACCCTCGTGGTGAAATTGTCGTCGGTGGCCCCACAGTGGCAGCGGGCTACTTCAAGCGACCCGAACTCACGTTAGAGTGCTTCGAGAGCGGCCCCATTCCGTGGTTCTACACGGGAGACATTGGAGAATTCATTCCTCAAGGTCTCCTGCGGATCATCGGTGAGTACCGTACAAGAGGATGGGGTCAGTCATTGTGAAGGGTTGTGTTTAGGGAGGTATGAAACCGGCATTTTTTGTCCAGGGTTAAACGAGCCCCTTGGAACTTATCAGTCTGCTGCATTTCTAAGTTGGGCGCTCTCATCCTCCAAATTAATAATATGCAAAAAAACTGTTGCCCAAAATTGTTGTTCATGATGCAGCTCAATTGCGACATTACTTTGCACCGTCTTCTACTGTGTTAACGTTTTTTTTTTAATTGTTATTAAGCTGGCATAGGAACTGCTGTGGAAATTTTAGAAATACTTTAAGTTTAGTCTTCAATTACCGTTGCTTCTTCTGTTACGATTTTGATCGCTTTATACGAGGGTGCTTCTTCGGTGGCTAATTTTGAGGGTGCTACAGAGGATTCCATTCGAAATGCTGTAGATGTTGCGTTTTAACTGAAGCCCTCTATGCTAACCTGCGGAGCTTGTGCTCGTCTTGCACGATGCGCACGCCACTAACTCATCTACCGACCCGTCAAACAAAGCCCGCTCAAAGTTGTCCCGCGAAGCGCTTCTTCACAGTGCTCACGTCGTATTATAGAACCAAGCGGGTAGCTACACACTCTGCGCGCCACTCCGAACGAGTCATTGAGGCTTATCAAAGTATAGTTGTTCGTCAACACGTACAGTGGCTAGCGACGAGCTAGATTGCGTAAACGACGGCAGTACAAATTACGCTGTCGCACGGCTACGCGCTTGCGTCGGGATTGGGGAGGTATTGCGCGCGGGGAGTATAATAATAATAATAATAATAATAATAATAATAAAGTTTATTTCCCATTCGATACAAGAATGGAGGAAACAGAGGGAAAAAGCTGTTTAACAGCTTGACTGAGCCCCCTGCTCCCTTACAGTTCCACATGACAGATATGATTTCTGTTATGGTTTAAGTGATTTCTGTAATAAACATAATATTATTACAAACAACCAGTATGGTTTCCAAAAAGGTAAATCAACTGAAATGGCACTGCTAAATATCAAAAACAAAATCATAGACAATATTGAAAATCAGTGCTATACTCTGGGTGTTTTTTTAGATTTCAGGAAGGCCTTCGATTCTATAAAACACGACATCCTACTCCGAAAGTTACCGCTGTATGGAATAAGAGGCAGTGCGCTAAACTTGATAAGCAGTTACATGACCTCACGTTTTCAATATACCGTCCTCAATGATATGCGCTCTCCTTTAGCAAAAATTCGATACGGTGTGCCGCAGGGGTCGATTCTCGGGCCATTACTTTTCCTTCTTTACATCAATGATATAGTAAACAACCCACAAACACCTAACATAATTTTATATGCAGATGATGCGAATGTATTCTTTACTGGTAGCTGTTTGGATAGCAGAGAAAGAGAAACAAATAATTGGCTGGAGCAACTTCATTTATGGTTAGGCTCAAACCAGTTAGAGCTGAATACGGCAAAGACTAAGTACATTATTTTTAGAGCAAAAAATAAGCCCATAACTAGCGAAATTAGTATATCTTTTCAAAACTCGAATATTGAACGCGTGGAATCCTTTAAATTTCTTGGTGTTCGTTGTCACGAAAATCTATACTGGACTTGTCAAGTGAACGAACTCCGAAGGGATATTTCTAGATCAATTGGTTTAATTTGTAAGCTAAAATACCTTCTTCCAGCCTGGTTAAAAAAACAACTGTATATATCTCTGATTCACTCGAGGCTGCATTACTGTTTATTGGTCTGGGGGACGACTACAGCAAGTAATATTAAGCAATTATTTACATTGCAAAAACGCGCAGTTAGGTCAATTGATAATTTACCTTGGACTGAATCGACTTCCCCTAGCTTTATTAAACATGGAATATTAACGTTAGACAATTTTTTTGCCTAAAGGTCGCAATTTCAGTTCATACTCAAATAAACACGAATCCCGCAATATTTTACGAAACATATTTATTTAAGCAAACAAATTACAATTTGAGACACCAGCAGTTTTCAAAACCTAAAATAAGAACTAATTACGGTACACAAAAAATATCCTACCAGATACCCGATCTTCTTAACAGAAATTATTGTGTATTCGAATTAGCCCAGACAATAGCGTCCGTGTTTCTTTTCAAAAAATACCTTACGGTATACTTCAATGTGCCTAGTGTGTATTCCTAGTATAGTTCACATCAAAATAGATTGTACATTTTTTGAGTGTCATATTTTTATCTTCTCAGATATTGTTTTATTTTTTTATTTATGCTGTTTTTGATTCATTTCCTGTGCCCTGCTGCTGAGTGCTGTAACGGGGGTTGGGGACCTAGTCAGGTGATTCGTTTTCGCCTTTTGTCCCAACCTCCCTGACAGTTGTGTCAAAAATAAAATAAACAAACAAACAAACAAAGATTAGAAATACAAAGCAATAGCAAAAATATCAACATTGTATACAAAAATAGATTATAACCTATTGCAGAAAAGTAATATATTCAATTCAAATAAGAAAATAAATCTTGCATTGTGACAGACATTATAGCAACGTTTTTGTTTAAGAGGAAATTTAGTAAAGTAGGTAGCATATATTTTAGAGGCTGCATGGAATAGTTATGGCAAAGAGGCACAGCCCAACGTGCCGCCGAACGAGTTGGATAGGAGGTAACATGTTCCCTTAGTTTAGAAAGTTTGGCCAAAATATCCATGTTTTTTTTTCTACCTTAAAACGGACCATAAGTTTATATGTATACATGTCGAAAACACGCAACAAATTATATTTTTCAAACAAACCCTTGGAGCTTGAGATATAAGAAACATTAACAATGAGGCGAACAAAATTTTTTTTTTGTATATTTGAACTGGTGGTTGTACCTCATACCAGGTGGCAGTAGTTTAAGTGGGATGCAAATAGAGTTTGATAAATAAGTAGTTTAACGTTGTTTGGTAAAATAAAATGGTTTCGAGAGACTAATCCGATGACCCTGTACAACCGAGGAAGCATATAGCTTACATGGTCGTCCGAAGACAAATACTGGTTAAAAATAACGCTAAGACTTTTGAAATTTTCCACTATCTCTATAACATTTGAATTTATTACGAGACTTTTCGTTATAAAAACGCTTCTATTTTTGGTTCGAAAAAAAAATTGCTTTGGTTTTACTACTACTAATTTCAAGCCCGTTGTCGGATGCCCAATTTTGCAACCCCGTTAAAGTATCATTTGCGCAGTTAAGTTCATCACTAGTCTTAGCCGAAAATAAAAGGGTTGTATCGTCTGCATATATAACAAATTTAGCAAGAGAATCTATGTTAACAATATCATTAATATAAATGTTAAAAAGCAAAGGTCCCGAGATACTCCCCTGTGGTACACCAGAGAAAACAGACTTTGCATTAGATGAAAAACCATTTAAATATACAAACTGCTTACGATTACTCAAATATGACTGAAGCAACGTAAGTGCTTGGCCCCGAATTCCATAAAGATAAAGTTTTTTTAGCAATAAAGTATGGTTTAGATAATCAAACGCTTTCGTAAAATCAATAAATACGGCTAAAGCTATCTGGTTTGCCTCAAAACTCTTTAAAATAAATTATTTTTGTTCTAGTAATGCTAGATCTGTCGAACGATGCTTCATGAACCCAAATTGATCATTAGTAATTACGCGATACTTATTAAAAAAATTTGACAGACGAATGTAAATACGTTTTTCTAAGCCCTTAGAAAAAAACGGTAAGATAGAGATAGGTCTATAATTATTTATGTCGTTCTTGTCTCCCTTTTTATAAAGCACAGACACTCTAGCTTTTTGCATAAGCTGCGGAAACACCCCAGTTGAAAAACATAAATTAAAAATGTAAGTAAGGAAGGGAGTGATCAGTGGTAAAACATATTTTACCGGTCGAATCTGCATACCATCGGCATCACAGCTATGGCTATTTTTTAATTCCATAAAGACAGTAGACACCTCTGTATCAGTAACTGGCAATATAAAAATAGAATCCCTAGTTTTAAAGGTTATATTATCACATGCAGCATCCCTACAGTTAATTTGGGGCAAATCAACAAACCTGTCATTAAATGTGTTTGCCAACGACACGCCAGTTAATTTCTTCCCTGCAGAAATAATGCATTCTACGCAATGAAACGTTTTGCCTTCTATAACTGAATTTAAGTTTTTCCACATAAGGTCAGAACGGCCTACAGAGTGTCTAAAGGAATCATGGTAATAGCGCTCCCTTCCTTTTCTCAGGGCGTTTGTCAGTTGATTACGGTACGATTTAAAAGTCCGAAGGTCATTGGGATCTCTAGTTTTTGGGAACTTTCTATATAGCGCATTTTTACCCTATATGTTTTCAAGTAGATCTACAGTTATCTATGGTTTCCGAATGCGTTTCTTCACTTTAATTAGTTTGTAAGGAAAATTGCTCTGATAAAGGCTTTTAAACCGCTCAAGAAAAAAATTGTACGCCTCATCAGGATCGCTCTTTGAAAAGATATCATCCCAATTTGTATTTGCCACATATTCCGCGAACCTCTCCAAACCATCCGGCGTAACACACTGGACTTGCGCAGAAGATGTCGGATCTTTCTTTTTTTGCGTTATTCATTTTGACGCACAAAAAATAGGAAGATGATCACTGAGGTCATAATTAATTATGCCAGATCTTATACGACTTTCCTCGTAATTTGTTATAAATAAATAAATCAAGGTTTTTGAGGTAACATTAACTCTGGTCGGAGAGTTAATTACAGTACGACAACCATTTATAAGTATTAAATTTTCCTACTCCCTTTTTGAAACAGTATTACTTAACATATTCACATTGAATCGCCGCCGCATATAATCTTCAGCTTGTTTCCTTTTGCGAAATCAAAAAGGGCGCTCAGAAAATTCAAGAAAGGGGACAAAGCGCCTCCAGGGGGGCGGTAAATGACCGAAACAAAGTCGTTTTTTGTTCGCAATGATAAAGCTTCGTAATCTTTAGTGATAACGGTAAACGAAGGCAGTA